AGAGCGGGAGCGAAAGGGGGGCGAGCAGCGCGACATGCAGCCAAAAGGAAGTATCAAGAGCCAGGTGCTCTGACTGACTCGACGGCAACCCCAAGCCCATCGACCGCCTCATATTCCGATTGCACCGACTACCAAAGCTTTGACTTCCACGATCCTCGATCCACTGTGAGAAGTTGGCCAATGACCCCTGTGGAGCCGAATCTGGCAGCCGAAGAAGCGAATTTGCTCCGATGTCTGTCCCCACAAGACACCTTGGGTTTCAGGGCACAGCACATTGGCAACGGAGAAGAGAACATGCACCTGCAGAATGCTCTCTTGCAATCGATGCGGGATCAACAGCTGGAAGAACTGGTCAGATTCCATGCGGACTGAGTCTGCAGCTGAAAGCCCTCTTTTTTCCCGGGGTTGTACTCATATCATTGGTTACCACTAAATGACTTGCACGAACAAACTTCAGCAGAGCCTGTGATGGATTGTCCGGTCCCCAGGGGGGGTGGCATCAAGGCAAGGGCAGTGTGGGCCGCACAGCTGTACTCGTTGCGGTTTACGGGGTTGGTCAAGACAGGGCGGTGATGCCGTCAAGGAATGACGGTCGACCTGACTATACTCACATCCCACGCCACGAGATTTTTGTGGAGCTCTGCATAGGAGAATTGTTGCCACCTGGACGGACACACCTACGAGACCTGAGTTTTTACGATTTGTACTATACCCCCCTTTCTAGCAAGAAGACAAATAATGCATTGGATGACAGATAACGAGCTGCAAGAATCAAGGAGAGACGAGCGCCGGGGGGTTGGGAGGGTTGAGGGTAAGCGTCTCTTGGCGAGGCGAGCGGGCGCCACCTGCGGGTCTAGATTTTCCCAACCTGCATTGTCATTTCAGCTCAGAATTCAGAATCCCAGATTCTCCAGCGTCTCCTCTTGCTTGTTCGAGCGTCGGATCGGCGTCACGGAAACCTTTTTTCGTCCTATGAAATGTCCTTGGTGCCCTGGTCCATGTGTTTGAGCTGCTCAGTCTCGCTACCACATGCCCACATGGCGTCAGGATTCTCCTCTCCCCGTGCCCTCGACCCGAGCCCACGCTTCCTTCCCCGGTATGGGCTGTGCCGTGCGCAGGCTAAAGTTCGTATTGGCCCCCCCCTCAGAAGTCTTGATCCTTCCGGTTCACTTCAGCAACACAACTCCCATCGACGAATATAGGCGGTCGGCGGGAAAAACATAGCACACATAGACAGCGCAGCGGAGGATTTAGGTGTAATTGATATTACGACTGCAAGGAGGAGGGGGACGCCCGTTGAGGGTGCCCATTGACAACCCGGGGATGACAACCCAAGACGTGTCAAACAAATGCCAGGCCAAAGATCCAATAACTCTTGACACTAATGCAGCAGACTGTGATGAGCGGACAAATACCCCCGGTCTTTCCCCTCCCCCTTGATCGATCTTTCAACTTCCTGGCTGTTGATTTTCCGGTGGCGTCACGATACGGGCCAGCCTAGAGCAACACGAGTTAGTGCATCTGCCGGAACAAAGGACAGACACCAAGCCAAAGCCACCTCCTCGTTATCAACTCCGCGTGCGAACCTGCAAGACTTCTCCTCCTCGCTTCCCGCATTGGCTCAATCCTACTCCGTTCAGCCCATCCCCGGCACTACTTGAACACAAGTCTTCGAAGCTCGTCATCTAAAGCAACGGATCCGATCGGGGCTGCCAAAAGATCGTGCTGTCAAGATGCCACTTGTTGCCACCTTGTCTTGGTTGGTTTCGACTCGATGTCCTAATCGCCCTGAGAAGATTACTCCCGATCTCAGCTCCACAAAGCGGAATAATAGTGTTGGCTCCCTTGCATCGGTCCTTGCCTCAAGTGACTACCAAGACAAGTCCCATGCGGCAGAACGTGCCTCGAAATCTCGGTTTTGAGTTTGTGGAGGCGGAATATCCAATCCACTTGGCCAGGATAGGCTGGTGGATGGTGTGATCGAGCTGGGGCATCTGCGATTATCTGCGGCAGCATGCGATCGATCTCGTCACGAAATTCCCTTTGCCATCCCGCTCCCGCCTGGGCTGGAAATATAGCCCGACGTAACAAATTTCTCAATGCGGGTAAGCCTCGCTGAAAGAACTGGGCTGTTGGTTTTGGACATTGAGAGTTTCGACGCTTCTTCCTGTGCCAACCCGGGGGGGCTGAGAGACATGTCTTCGAGCCATTAGGAGTTCCAGCCCCATCTATTGCCGGGTAAGAGCCGATGTCGACGCACTTCTGCGAGGCGAACAAGGGCCAATCCCTGAACAAAAAAACTTTGCCTCTACCAAAGAAGAGCATTGGACGGACAAAAGTAGAAGACAACCCCTGGCTAGGATTTCCATCCTAATTCAGGTGCTCGCTCGATTCTCAACAAGGTCCAACATCTGCCACGGCTGAAGCTTCCGGGTTGTTGAAACTATGAGTCTCTTCAGAGACACAGTCTCGCAGAACGGTCCACGCCATCTCCAACCCACGCTGGTGACAAATCTTGGATGGGCAAGTCCTCATGGGCCAGACACCGTTCTGTGGTCGAACCTTGAATCTTTTTGTCCACTTTTGGCGGTGACTGTACCATGCAATACCCACCAGATTCACTCCCTGGTTAGTATCGATTGAATCTGATAGATTCAACGAGGCAAAACAGCTTCTTTTTCCCGTCAACCCGTCATGCACGGTTCCGAGTATCCCTGCCCCAGTCAATTGTTCAGAACGTGCTTGACATATGCTGAGCAACGTATGACAATACAACCTGGGATTGACCAGATCAAGACAACCACAGAAGCATCCAGGGCAAGCCTTGGAGGGTTTCGCCTTGCACTGTACCACAACATCAAACGACAACCTCGCACTGTCGGTGCACACCAGGTTCCCCAGCCAGGTTTTCCGACTAATTGACATTCGATGCGATCACTCTATTACTCTCAATGGTTGAGCCACTAGGTCTACGCCATTCCCCTCCAATCCATTGGCCGAGCACATCTGTCAGGGTATCGAAGATGGTTCTTTCCTCGAGGTTACTAGTGCCCGTTATACCTCATGATAAATGGTGTGACCAGCTCTGTCACCAGCAGAAGCTGGTCTCACAGGTATCCCACCGCCCAATTAAGCTGACTAGGGAATGTCACAACACTTCTGGCGCCCCACGGACATCCTCGACACCATGATGGCAGCCACTGGTTTTGGAAAGACAACGCTCGCGCTTTTTCATCGACATGGATGGTGACATGGATCACAAGGTGGGATGAAGCCCTGCCACCTCTTCCCTCTCCCTCATCTCGAGAGGTCGAATCTCGAATCTCGATATCATCCCCATCACTATTGAGACCCGGAAACCCAACAGAATGTTTTGAAGTTTGCGTTTCGGTCGCGACCGCCAGAGAGTTGTGACTGAAAATCTTCTGTGGTACAGATGTGTCTGTATCACCATAGCCCTCGGCCCACCAACCCCAGCTTTTTTTCTCCCCTGAGCATTTCTCTATTCTAGACGCAGAGGGGATGCGCAGTCCTCTGAATGTGACCCTCACATTCCCATGAACGCCGTGCCTGGCCTCGGATGCTGCCTCCGAGCCGACACAGGATCTTTTCAATATTCTCATGCCTTGTGCCTCTCTGCAAGTGATGTGCCTGCCAGGTGGTAACTACACGATAATGAGGTAGGACAAATGTGGCTCCCATTGCCAGACCAACTTGTTGGTGGATCGTCGAGTGGCTCGTCTGCATGGCAGCCGGCAGATATGACAGATTTGACAGCGGCAATGTGTTACCTTCCCACTCAAGAGCGCGATCTGATGGCGGTCCCTTCTTTGAGTCCCTGGAGGGTTGTTGAGTCTAGGCAATCAAGCATTTCTCACAGGAGGAATTACGGATTGTCTTATAACTGTCGTTCAACCATTATCTACCTGTTGGACAAGTGCTTTGTAAAGAACTGAAGATGTGAAAGCGCAGGAGAAATCGGCAGCGGAGATTTTGCCTTGATTCCGTTCTCGTAAAAGCGTTGTGAGCCGTTGCGCGGTGTTACTACGAACCTCAACCAAAAAGAATATCTTTGCATGCGAAGATTGATGCGCATGGAACAGGTGGTCTCTCACCCATCGCGCCGCTTGGGGCCAGATCGTGGCTGGTAGCACTATTCCGCATCTGAAGTGGACGAGACTGCAGGCACAATTGGGCTGTTCCAGGGTGAGTATGCGACGGACGACTGAATCCTACTATACTGACACTTTGCGAGAAGGTGGAATTGTGACCGTATGCAGAACATGTTCATGTCACGTACTGCTGGAAGTGTTACACCGGCTCTCACGATAGTCCACTCAGGACAATTCCAGCCCTGTTTCTCTTTCCTGAGTGATGCTGTCATCCAGATGTTCTGCGGAAACGATAATACCTTGTCACAATGGCCCTGTCCTGGAGAGCCAGGTTGACGGCGCCCAAATATTGCGATGCCGATCTCACCGACCTCTATGTCTTACGAGGACGAGCAACCACAGACTAAACTTCGGCGACTTCACTTCTAGGATGTTGTCGTGATACCCGAACAAGGCGGACGCAGGGAAGCAGGAGGATGGAGGAGAGGAATGGTGCACACATGCCATAGAACTCTGCAATGACATGAGAACTGTCTGGGCTCTTCAAGGGAACAAATCACGCCACCTATTCTACTGGTACTCCGATCGAGATATTTCCTAGAGTTGAAACCACCTCGTAGTGACATTTGACCACTCGAATCGTGAAACTTGTTGTCTTTCAAGATGCTTCTCTTCCACCTGCCCGAAGCCTAGGTGACACAAGTGCAGCACCATCATCGTGCACATATTGGAATATTTTCCATTGCCATTGCCATTTTTTTGCTCTCCGACCATCGCCGTTGACCGCATGTAAGTTTCGGTCACAAGCAAGACGCCCCATGTCTCATCAAAAGAATTTGGTGACAGTCATCTTCCCACCTCCCAGCTACACCCTTGGGAAATCCTGCTCTATTTCTTCCCCGTCTTCTTCTCCTGCGTCTCCTTCAGCACCTTCTTGACAATCTTCTGCTCCTCGATCAGGAACGCGCGGACAATCCGGTCCCGTACGCAGTTGCCGCATCTTGAGCCTCCATATGCACGCTGTACGGTCTTTTGTGGTCTGCTGGTGGTGGCGTACTCTTTGGGTCGCAGGGCGGGAATCTATAGAACCAACACGTGGCTTTTTGTTAGAAACGAGGTCTTCAAATGAATCTGTGCGTAGATTGAAAGATTGGTTTATGGGGGTGGGTGTAGATGTGCTGGTCTCTCTCCTCCTTTCAGCGGCTCATCACTTACACCTGGTAGTTTGACGCCGCAGTCACCGCATTTCGGGGCTGTGCCGCGCTTCTTGATGTGAAGAAGACGAAGTTTTCCGCCGGGGGTCTTGATGACTCGGACGTTGTTGGACGAGGTGTTGTATCTGTTAGGTTTTGCGGGTTGTTGTCAGCTATTGAACATCGTGCCCATTTCATTTCCTCCATAGTTTTGCGATGGTCTTGGTCTTCCGCAGAGTTGACAGGGATATACGTACGGGTTCCGGCGACGGTACTGAAGTCTGACGCCTGCCATTGCGACGGTGTTTGATAGGCAATGGGATGTGTTGAAGGCGAGGAAATCGTTGCGTGTCGTGAATCTGCGGTTGACTTGACGAGAACCGCTTCTGCGAAAATCCGTGTGCGAAGTTTCTCTGCCGATGATCCTCCGGCTTGGCGCCAAGTCCTAATTCTGGTTCTGGCTCTTCCCCAGTCACGTGTGCGGGCGAAACTGACCTTGACAAGTCAAGTTTTCTTTGCGATTTGATAGCGAACGCCCGCTTCGCAGGTCAACAATTGTCGCACTCAGTTCATCCACTAAGGCCTCCAGCTGGTGGATGATAGATCTGAGTATCTACGAGCAGATAAGTTCGCCCCCGAGGCCGAAGGAGAGGGCAGAACACGTGTCGTAAATGGTAAGCGACTTTTAAACATCTCTCTTGAGACCGAACCACGAGTTCATCTTCTCTATCGCGACAGTCACCATCATCCGCCCAACGATAGCATGGCTTCGATACCGCCCCCTCCTCCGCCAGGATGGGGTGCTGGATTGCCGCCTCCGCCTCCCCCTGGGATGGCTCCTCCACCTCCGGGTTATCGTCCTCCCGTCGACCCTCGTGTAGCAAAGTTTGCACAGAAAAAGAAGGAGTGGCTCCGCACGCAGCGCAATCGGTATGGTGAAAAGAGGAAGGGCGGCTTTGTGGAAACCCAAAAGGCCGATATGCCGCCGGAACATCTGAGGAAGATTGTCAAGGACATTGGCGACGTCAGCCAGAAGAAGTTCAGCAGCGACAAAAGAAGTTATCTGGGCGCGTTGAAATACATGCCACACGCCGTCTTCAAGCTGTTGGAAAACATGCCCATGCCTTGGGAGAGCGCGAGGGAAGTCAAAGTGTTGTATCATGTCAACGGGTGTCTGACACTCGTGAATGAAATTCCCCGGGTCATCGAGCCTGTTTTTCACGCGCAGTGGGCAACCATGTGGGTTTCGATGAGACGAGAGAAGAGCGACAGGAGACACTTCAAGCGCATGCGTTTTCCTCCTTTCGACGACGAAGAACCACCGCTGTCTTGGTCGGAAAACATCGAGGATGTCGAGCCCCTCGAACCTATTCAGATGGAACTGGATGAGAATGAGGATGGCCCTGTGTACGAATGGTTCTATGACCACCGGCCTCTTCTGGACACGCCACACGTCAATGGTCCGAGTTACAAGACGTGGAACTTGACATTGCCACAAATGGCTACCCTTTATCGACTGTCTCACCAGCTCCTGAGCGATGTTGTGGACAAGAATTACTTCCACATGTTCGATCGTGAAAGTTTCTTCACCGCAAAAGCCCTTAATGTGGCCATCCCTGGTGGACCCCGGTTCGAGCCGTTGTACAAAGACATTGACCCCAACGACGAGGATTTCGGCGAATTCAACGCAATTGATCGGATTATCTTCCGCGCACCAATCCGGACGGAATACAGAGTCGCGTTCCCTTATCTCTACAACTCGCTGCCGCGAAGTGTGAAACTTTCATGGTACTCCCACCCTCAGGTTGTCTACGTCAGATCAGAGGATCCCAACTTGCCTGCCTTCTATTTTGATCCTGTCATCAATCCCATCTCTTCACGGTCAGTGGCGCCAAAGAACATTACTGTCAGCCATGAGGATGAGATCTTTGGCGAAGGCAATAACGAAGACGATGAATTCGAGCTTCCAGGCAATGTTGAGCCATTCCTCGCGGACGAGGAGCTGTACACCAGCGAGACAGCTTCTGCTATCGCTTTGTGGTGGGCTCCTTTCCCATTTGATCGGAGATCCGGAAAAATGGTTCGTGCCCAGGATGTCCCTCTGGTCAAGCAGTGGTATTTGGAACACTGCCCGCCCGGCCAGCCGGTCAAAGTCCGAGTGTCATATCAGAAGTTATTGAAGACCTACGTTCTGAATGAGCTGCATAGAAAGAAGCCCAAGGCGCAGAACAAACAAGACCTTCTCAAGACGCTGAAGTCCACCAAGTTCTTCCAGCAAACGACCATCGACTGGGTAGAGGCGGGTTTACAGGTCTGTCGACAAGGATTCAATATGCTAAATCTTCTGATCCACCGGAAGAATTTGACGTATCTCCATTTGGACTACAACTTCAACCTTAAACCCGTCAAAACTCTGACGACAAAGGAGCGTAAGAAATCAAGATTCGGCAACGCGTTCCACTTGATGCGAGAGATTCTGAGGCTCACCAAGCTCATCGTCGACGCGCAGGTCCAATACAGACTTGGCAACATCGATGCATTTCAACTAGCTGACGGAATTCTCTATGCTTTCAACCACGTCGGACAATTGACTGGAATGTACCGGTACAAATACAAGCTCATGCATCAGATCAGATCGTGCAAAGACCTGAAACACTTGATCTATTATCGCTTCAATTCTGGTCCAGTTGGAAAAGGTCCAGGTTGCGGCTTCTGGGCCCCGGCGTGGAGAGTTTGGCTCTTCTTTATGCGTGGCATTATTCCTCTGCTTGAACGATGGCTCGGGAACTTGTTGTCGAGACAATTCGAAGGCCGACACAGCAAGGGCGTGGCAAAGACAGTCACAAAACAACGCGTGGAGTCCCACTTTGACCTTGAACTTCGAGCTTCGGTCATGGCAGACTTGATGGATATGATGCCCGAAGGTATTAGACAGAACAAGGTCAATACCGTGCTCCAGCATCTTTCCGAAGCGTGGCGATGCTGGAAGAGCAATATTCCCTGGAAAGTCCCAGGGTTACCTGCTCCGATCGAGAACATCATCCTGCGATATGTCAAGAGCAAGGCTGACTGGTGGATTTCTGTGGCTCATTATAACCGAGAGCGTATCAGAAGAGGTGCAACCGTCGACAAGACAGTAGCCAAGAAGAACCTTGGTCGCCTCACCCGACTATGGCTGAAAGCTGAACAAGAAAGGCAGCATAACTACATGAAAGACGGTCCTTATGTTTCCTCGGAGGAAGCCGTCGCCATTTATACGACCACCGTCCATTGGCTTGAATCACGAAAATTCTCGCCCATTCCCTTCCCCAGCGTGTCTTACAAGCATGACACGAAGATTCTCATTCTGGCCTTGGAAAGACTTAGGGAAGCCTACTCTGTTAAGGGCAGACTGAACCAGAGTCAGAGAGAAGAGCTGGCCTTGATCGAACAGGCTTACGATTCGCCAGGAACTACCCTTGCTCGAATCAAGCGTTTCTTGTTGACTCAACGAGCATTCAAAGAAGTCGGCATCGACATGAACGACAACTACAGCTCAATAAACCCGGTATACGACGTTGAGCCCATTGAGAAAATTACCGATGCATATCTTGACCAGTATCTCTGGTACCAGGCTGACACCCGGCATCTCTTCCCATCGTGGGTCAAGCCTTCAGATTCAGAGGTCCCACCCCTTTTGGTCTACAAATGGGCTCAAGGGATCAACAACCTGACAAATGTCTGGGAGACTGCAGATGGAGAATGTAACGTCATGATCGAAACGCAGCTTTCCAAGGTCTACGAGAAGATTGATTTGACTTTGCTCAACCGTCTGCTTCGACTCATTATGGATCACAATCTGGCGGACTACATCACGTCGAAAAATAATGTGCAGCTGAATTACAAAGATATGAACCACACGAATAGCTACGGCATGATTAGAGGCCTTCAGTTCTCAGGCTTCGTCTTCCAGTACTACGGACTGGTTATCGATCTTCTCCTCCTGGGCCTCCAACGAGCGAGCGAGCTCGCTGGACCGCCTCAGAGCCCTAACGACTTCTTGCAATTCCGGGACAGAGAGACGGAGACCAGACATCCCATTCGGTTGTACACACGATATATCGACAAAATCTGGGTCTTTTTCAGATTCACTGCAGAGGAGTCTAAGGATTTGATCCAGCGCTTCTTGACTGAGCAGCCCGATCCGAACTTTGAGAACGTGATTGGGTATAAGAACAAGAAATGCTGGCCTCGAGATTCTAGAATGCGGCTGATGAGACACGATGTCAATCTCGGCCGGGCCGTATTCTGGGATTTGAAGAACAGACTGCCTCGTTCAATCACCACGATTGAATGGGATGACACGTTCGCAAGCGTCTATTCCCGGGACAATCCCAATTTGTTATACTCAATGTGCGGCTTCGAAGTCAGGATTTTGCCAAAAATCCGCAACCAGAACGATGAATTCCCGATCAAAGACAGCGTTTGGGCTCTCGCCAACAACGAAACCAAAGAGAGGACTGCGTACGCTTTCCTCCAGGTCACCGAAGAAGATATCCAGAAGTTCAACAACCGCATTAGGCAGATCTTGATGTCTTCGGGCTCAACGACATTTACCAAGATCGCAAACAAGTGGAACACGACCCTGATTGCCCTGTTCACCTACTACCGAGAGGCTGCCGTGTCTACTGTCAACTTGCTGGACACCATTGTCAAATGCGAGACCAAGATCCAAACTCGTGTAAAGATCGGCCTGAACTCTAAAATGCCTTCTCGTTTCCCCCCGGCTGTTTTCTATACGCCCAAGGAGCTCGGCGGTTTGGGCATGATCTCAGGTTCTCACATTTTGATCCCGACTAGCGATAAACGATGGTCCAAGCAAACAGATACTGGTGTCACTCATTATCGAGCCGGCATGACCCATGACGAGGAAACTCTTATTCCCAACATCTTCCGATATATCATTCCGTGGGAGGCTGAGTTCATCGATTCTCAGCGCGTGTGGACCGAATATTCTCAGAAGCGGTTGGAAGCCAACCAGCAGAATCGAAGACTTACTCTCGAAGATCTCGAGGACAGCTGGGATAGAGGTCTGCCGCGTATCAATACTCTGTTCCAGAAAGACCGGAGCACTCTAAGCTTCGACAAAGGCTTCAGAGCCCGGACAGAGTTTAAGCAATACCAGTTGATGAAGAGCAACCCTTTCTGGTGGACGAGTCAGAGACACGATGGGAAACTGTGGAATCTGAACGCCTATAGGACCGATGTCATCCAAGCGTTGGGCGGTGTCGAGACTATTTTGGAACATACTCTGTTCAAGGCAACAGCATTCCCATCTTGGGAAGGTCTTTTCTGGGAGAGAGCATGTCTCGCCAATGGTACCATGCTGCTGCGGTATGACGGCTCCCAGGTCGCTGTCGAAGATGTCGTGGAAGGAGATCTGCTTCTGGGACCTGATGGTGGTCCTCGTCGCGCGTTCAATATTGTGAACGGAAAGGATCGTTTGTATCGTATCAAGATCGAATCCGATGTGGAAGACCTCGTCGTCACATCGAACCACATCCTGGTATTCTATCACCAGAAGAGCAGTGAGAACCAGCACGACGGCTCCCACCTCCCTCACCATCAACAGGGGGCGGAAGGCGATATCGAGGACTCGTGCCAGTCCAGCTCTGACAGAAAACGGTCTGAGAGTTTCATCAAGCCCACTCAACGCTATGAAACTGTTGAAATCACGGCGGCAGAATTTGCGGGGCTGAACCCAACCCAGAGGGCCCAATACCGGCTTTTCCGATCACCTGGATTCGCGGCGCCAAAGCACACTGTGGAAGTCGACCCAGAAGTCCATAGCTTTGTCGTTGAGGATATTTCCCTCGAGTCCGAACCCACCAAATGGGCTGGTTTCCGCGTTGACAAGGATCAACTCTACCTTCGCCATGATTACCTCGTGCTCCACAACAGCGGCTTTGAGGAGTCTATGAAATTCAAGAAACTCACAAACGCCCAACGTTCTGGTTTGAACCAAATTCCCAACCGTCGCTTCACCCTATGGTGGTCGCCAACTATCAACAGAGCAAATGTCTACGTTGGTTTCCAGGTGCAGCTTGATTTGACCGGCATTTTCCTTCACGGCAAGATTCCTACGCTGAAGATTAGTTTGATGTAAGTCTTTCCCACTCCGTCCCTCGTAGCACATACTAACGAATACTTCTAGTCAGATCTTCCGTGCCCATTTGTGGCAGAAAATCCACGAATCCGTTGTCATGGACTTGTGTCAAGTTTTCGACCAGGAGCTGGAGCAATTAGGCATTGAGACCGTGCAGAAGGAGACGATCCACCCTCGAAAATCGTACAAAATGAACAGCTCCTGTGCGGATATCCTACTGTTGGCCAGTCACAAGTGGAATGTGACTCGACCTTCTCTCCTCTTCGACACGAAAGATCAGATTGAAGCCACGACAACCAACAAATTCTGGGTTGACGTTCAATTGCGGTATGGTGACTACGATTCTCACGACATTGAACGCTACGTCCGGGCTAAATATCTCGACTATACCACTGACAGCATGAGCATCTACCCTTCGGCGACAGGTCTGATGGTCGGTATTGACCTCGCATACAACCTGTACTCTGCATATGGACAATATTTCCCTGGGTTGAAGGCGTTGGTGCAGCAGGCAATGGCCAAGATCATGAAAGCAAATCCAGCCCTTTACGTGCTCCGCGAACGCATCAGGAAAGGTCTACAGCTGTACGCGTCTGAAAGCACTCAAGAGTTCTTGAACTCGCAGAACTACTCGGAACTGTTCAGCAACCAAACTCAACTGTTCATTGATGACACAAATGTGTACCGGGTGACGATTCACAAGACATTCGAGGGCAATCTGACGACGAAACCTATCAACGGCGCCGTTTTCGTGTTCAATCCCAAGACTGGACAGCTCTTCTTGAAGATCATCCACACCAGTGTGTGGGCTGGTCAAAAGCGTCTCGGGCAATTGGCTAAATGGAAAACTGCGGAAGAAGTCGCGGCCTTGATCAGGTCTCTGCCTGTCGAAGAACAGCCCAAACAGCTCATTGTCACTCGCAAAGGTCTCCTCGATCCGCTTGAAGTTCACTTGTTGGACTTCCCGAACGTTTCGATTCGAGCTTCGGAGCTCCAGCTGCCATTCCAGGCTGCGATGAAGGTGGAAAAGTTGGCCGATATGATTCTGCAAGCCAAGGAGCCGCAGATGGTTCTGTTCAATTTGTACGACGACTGGTTGAAGTCGATATCGTCGTACACGGCCTTTTCGAGATTGATCCTTATTCTCCGCGCTCTGCATGTGAACACGGACAAGACGAAGCTGCTTCTCCGACCCGACAAGACGGTCATCACTCAAGCACATCACATCTGGCCTACTCTGTCGGACGAAGACTGGATCAAAGTCGAGGTTCAGCTTCGAGATCTTATCTTGAACGATTACGGCAAGAAAAACAATGTCAACGTCCAATCCCTCACCAGCAGTGAAGTGCGAGACATTATCCTGGGTATGGAGATCTCGGCGCCGTCGATGCAACGCCAGCAAGCGGCGGAGATTGAAAAGCAGCAACAAGACCAACAACAACTGACTGCGGTGACCACCAAGACTCAGAACGTTCGCGGAGAGGAGATTATTGTAACGACGACCTCGCAATACGAGCAACAGTCGTTCGCCTCCAAGACGGAATGGCGGACACGGGCGATTGCGACGTCGAACCTAAGGACGCGTGCGAACAACATCTACATCTCGAGCGATGATATTCACGAATCGGAGGACTCGTACACGTATGTACTCCCCAAGAACATACTCAAGAAATTCATCGCGATTGCAGATCTGCGTGTCCAGGTGGCGGGATATCTCTACGGCTCGTCACCACCAGACAATGATCAGGTCAAGGAGATCCGCACTATCGTGATGGTGCCGCAGGTTGGATCTACACGAGAGGTGCAGTTACCGCATCAGCTACCACAACATGAGTATCTCAAGACCATGGAGCCACTCGGAATCATCCACACCGTGAGTGGGAATGAGACATCGTACATGACTGCGGCGGATGTGACGATGCACTCTCGCCTGATGGCACAACATCCCAGCTGGGACAAGAAGACCATCACGTTGACAGTCTCGTTCACGCCGGGATCGGTGTCACTCAGCTCCTGGACACTTACTCCACAAGGATACGCGTGGGGGGCCTCGAACAAGGACACGCAGTCGGACAGTCCTGCGGGCTTTTCGACCTCGTTTGGAGTCAAGACGCAACTCCTCCTGTCTGACAAGATCCGGGGCTATTTCCTGGTCCCCGAGACGGACGTGTGGAACTACAGTTTCATGGGGGCGCAGTTTTCGACGGTGGAGAAGAGGCCCGTGTACGTCAAGATTGACACGCCGCGACGGTTCTACGACGACTTGCACCGGCCCGTGCATTTCAGCAGCTTTAATGAGTTGGAGGACATATGGGCTGACCGGGAGGATGCATTTGCATGATTATATCTTTTGGTGGACTGAGTGCGCGATAGCGACGTCCAAGGCAAGGCAACAAAAGCTTGAGGAGAAGGTAGTTTATTTAGTGGCTGGTATTCCCTTGTAAGATATGAAGATGACAATGACTCTGTCTCCTGAATGAGATGGAGTATTAGTTTTATCCATGTATGTATGCGTGCATGTATGTATGCGCTACGGCACGACGGACATGCTTATCCGACGGCCAGTGACCTCCATGGTTAAGGAGGGCATTGTATTGTAGTTGACTGCATTGAACTCGATTTGGATCTTGATCTTTGATGTCGGTATCGATATTGGTATTGAGCAGTTCATTCTCAACTTTCACCTTGTCCTCACCCCTCGCCCTCGCTCTCGATCAGTCCTTCACTTAGCCTGTAGTATACACCAGTTACTAAGTAGGACTTACTCAGACGAGGGACGGATGACGGATGATTGGGGTTACCAACTGACTGGCTTAAGTGACTTAGAGACGTATGGAACCGTTGGTAGGTACATGGGTACAGGGTACATAGGTAAGAAGTACATGGTCAACCCGTATCTGGGTACATCTTTTGTGTGTGTGTATATGTAGCTCCTACCTATATTTGTATGTAGATAGTGAGAGGTACAACAATAGGTCTATACCGTGTGGATGGACTTCTAGCATGAATAGTCCTCTCCCCCGTGTTCCTTGCGTAATTTACAGTGTGATCATATTCGTCCTTTAACGGTTTTGACCGTAGAAGACGTCTCTCCATTGGACTCGTTGCTAGATATTTTCCTGATACGAAGAGAGATAACCCGGTATCAGCATCTTAACAAGTCCTTTTCCTCGCAGTCGTCAGCCGCGCGCATCGACAACTTGCCCTGATCTTGAATGAGATCCCAAAAGGGCACACTCGCCGTCCTGGGGTATCAACGACGGCTCGTCCTCAACGTGCGACAAGTCCTCGCCCGCCGACAGAAGCACACGTCGGAAATAATTCAACGTGGCACAATCGTCACGTCACGCCCGGCGACGCATTCCGGACAATTCAGACCTTCTGGGAGAGGTGAACGTGCACATGGTTCGGGGCGCCGGACGCAATATGACCTTGACTCCGCCGAGGAGTAACACGTGCAGCCGACGCAGAGGTGATGGATGATCATGCCGAATTGGGAGAAGATGGCTGCGTTAGCGGTGTTGCTTTGTTGTCTGCGTATGTTCGCGCCTATGAGAGCTGTGACGGCCGTGTACAGTGATGGAGCTCGAACAGATCGAAAGAGAAGAAGACGTTCTTCTCTGGATCTGGATCAATCTTATTGATTCATGTTGGGTAGCAAACAATGCCTTACTCCCTCTGAGCCTGTAAATCATGCACCAACTGAGACTCGGTTCCCAAACGGATGGCAACATGAGAGCATTAGGAGGGTATCTTGGCTGATTTCTTTTGGAACTGAAACCATACAGCGTTGTCGCACATTCTGGATCGTCAGTGAGCGCTTGGAGAATAGGTGATTCTCCCATATCAATAGACTGATCCGTCTGGAATCACTTCGCTTTTGATCCTAGGATCACCTCTCGCGGGTGCTACACTTTTTGTGCCATGTTGTCCCAGGTCATGTCTCCAGCCGTGGCATGATCAGGCATCAAGAAGATGGTACATCAGAAAAGACCACCTGTCTCAAAAAATCAGGTTCGGGTAACCCTCCATAGGTTCAGAATGGTATGCAGATGCAAAGTCTGCTTCACTGATCGCACCATAGGCGAAAGCGTCGAGCGCCATTATCGGGTTGAAGTCGGCCGGGTTATACGTATGTGGATTGAGCGACGACATATGTTGGTGAGGTAGCTGGTGATGCTGTTCTTGATGATGTTGCTGAGGTGGCTGAACGACGTGCGCATGCAGGCTCTCAACGGGAATAAATTGGCTGCCTACTGCGGGCGGTTTGACATCTTCCTCTTCCTCCTCAATAACGTAGCCCGTCTGTGTCCGCGTCTGTTTTGCCTTTGGCGACGAAGCTGGTAGCGGTAACCTAGCATTCTGTGCCTGGGCCTGCATCCGCGTGTGCATCATGCCGCTGGGAGATGAACATGGAGACTTGGGGATGTGATTGAACGCTGGCATATCACTATACAACTCGGGGAACCTCTGAAAGATGTCTGGCCCCATGGTCCAACACTTGATGTCCTTCAGTCGCTGGTCAAACGTCGGGGAGAACTTGTAGAGTCCAGTCTCGATTTCTCGCGTGTAGCAGTCCCGAAATTCGTATGGCCAGAGAATGCGGAAGGATTTGCAGAACAAATGCCAAAAGTCGTTGCCGCAATAGTCGTGTTCGTTGAAGATGAAACGTTCCCGAACACCAGGCCATGCAAAGTAGTCGATGGCGTACGAGTGCGCGATCTTCTGAGACGGGCGACGCATGTACCATGGCGGGAGTCGTGCGTAACGATCAGAGGTTGAGGCGGTATGGAATTGCAGCAGGGTATGCATGGCTCGCATGATGGCGAGACGCTCGGTGTTGGGACACTTGGCGAACAGCGTCTGGTCGATCCGGCGCAGGATTTTCCAGGAAGGATGCAGGGGAGCTCGCTTCGCAACGGCATCCCATCCCTCAATTATAGCACGGATTGGGACGTCGTCGCACAGATCGTCAGATTCTGGAGCCACTTCCTCGTTCCAATCGAAGCGTTCGCTTAACACCTCGTTCGCGTAACGCCAGTAGTTTCCCCGCCAAACCGAACGACGGCCGGGCTGACGATCGTTGCAACTGTGGCATGAGCAGGATCGTCGGGGGGCAGCCCAGTTGTCGCTCCAGTTGCATGGCATCGGGTTCGGCTCTTTCTCTCCCTTGGCTTGCACCATAACCTGGGTGGGAGAATGGCTCTCGTCAGACTGCAAGGGCACCACTTCTGGTGCAAAAAGGAGATCTTGGGATTGCAGCGGCAAGCTCGGTGTGGGCGAGAAAGTAGCGAGGTCGAAATTCTGCGTCGGACTGGCTCCTGACTGCATGTCGGTGTGTTCGCGTTGGAAGGGGAGGCGAGGGCCGTCTCGGACAGGCGTCAGACTGGCATCTCGCTCGCCACTGGTCTCTTCCTGGGCCATTGTCGCCATGAATACTGTGCTCTTGTCTTCCACCTCTTCGCCGAGCGACTTGGGTAGCTTATGCGTGTCCATGGCCTTCTGTATGTCCTTCAGGGTCTTCGCCATGAGATCTCTTTCTAATTCCACCTCTTTCAGTTGCTTCAACAGGGTGGCAACTTGACCGCTAGAGTCCTGGCGTCGGAATTCCTCCACGAGACCTTCGAGGTAGGCAATACGGGACTTTGTGCGTTCGCGAGCTTGACGCTGGCATCGTCGGTCGATCTCCCGCTTCTTCAAGCGGCGGGACGAGACGCCTTGGGTTTCGTGGGTGTCGGTAGGTCGAGCAGCAGCACCAGCTCCCTGGCTGAGCGTGGTTGTATGCGTAGCCATCGTGACAACAGATGGGTTGTTGTTAGGCACACTGGCGCATAGCGACTGAAGAAAGGTTGTTCAGGATGGGAAAGGATGAAGACGGGGGGAGAGGAGCGTGCGCCATGATGGTGATTGACCCAGAACAAGGGTAATGAATCCGTTCCGAAGTTTGTGAAGTGGCTAACGCTGTTCCAGACATGAGCGTCTCAGGCGGAACCGCACCTGAAGTCGGCCGAGCCTCGTCACTGGCTGAGAGGCCAGTAGGCCACTTAGTACAACTAGGCTGAGCTTCGGGGTTGCGGGGTACCAGTAAGAGTCGAGTGTGGGAGGGAGATGGTCACAACCCTTGGACAGCTGTGCAACCTCAGCACCTCTGGTTAAACTCTCCCTTGAAACAGGGCGCTCAGGGCACCCAGGCACCCAGGCAGTCCAGGGCATCCGTGAGCAAACTCGATCATGCCTAGGCATTTGCCACATTGGGCCCCCCTTTCGCTCCCCCCACTCCCCGACAAAATGGTGAAATTTCGGGGGCATCCCGATGACACTTCTGTGCGTCCGAAGCCAGATTTCCCCCAGATGGTCTCATCTCTCATCTCATGCCCCGGAGAAGTGAATACGAGATTCAAGCGTTCCTTCGGTCCCCAAGCAGCCACTCAGCAAACACAGACGAGCCTCGAATTCCCGGCGACCTCAGGAGCTAGAAAACCAGCACCTCGTCCTCATTGGTAGTTTCGTGCGAGGGTCCTTGTCAATTTGGGGATAAAAGCGTGTAATCGTCACAATCCGAGGTATGCTTGGTGATGGAGCGGACGAATTATGCTTGGACGGGGTGCTTGTGCTCTGACCGACCCAGACGAAAGTGAAGCGGGCTTCATTATTCAAGATTTAGATGGACCTGATGCATATTCTCGGTAGGCACCTAGGATAGTGAAGGGGTTTGTCAGCAGGAGATTCCAAATCCCCCACTTCCTTACTCGTCAAGGCGGGGATACCGTGGAATTCGATAATTACAGCGTTGAGTTCCCAGCTATTCGGGCGATCGGTTTACCCATTTCCCCCTTTCACGCCAAGAACAAAAGGCTTCAAACGCCCCCCCTCCCTCCCCACCCACAAATGCCTCCGAACTGGCAAACTGGATCGATGGCGTGCCCACTGCCCATTGCCTACGGTGTACCTAATCCACTAGCGATTCTAATGCACGATACAGTAGCCCGGAGACCTTGGTTCGAGTCCAAGATGCATCATGTTCATGTGCACCCGTATGTCTGTCTTGTCTGGTCGCGAACGAGGCTAGCCCTGAGTGTCTGCGTGTTCGAAAGACTGTTTTGGGTAATGGGGCATCAGGCTCCGGCGTCTCTACGCTTTCTTATTGGTTGCCTTGCGACTCTCGACCTGTTATGCAAGATGTGCTTCGGAGATAAGTATCCCTCTTCCCTGTATATGTACTCGGTTCGTACCTAGCTTCTCTTGCTAGTCCATTGCACCATGTTCATGGTCCACACGACTCGTACCCGGTCAACGACCCCTCCTAAAAATGCCCCTCCTCTTTCACCATCTTTTTCAGATCCAGAAAATCTCTTATCCATCCCTCCTGTCTTGTCGCTATATATTCCAGACCAGGTGGCTTCCTGCGTCTCCAATTCTTGATTCGCATCATCGCACATCCCGATTCCCACAATGTCGAGCTGCTGCACTACTGGCTTCCGATGGGAGGGGACTCCCCGAGGCCATGAAGCCACCCTCGCCGGCAAGAAAGCCTATGTCACCGGCACCAACAAGGACGCCGCCGTCCTCATCGTCCACGACATCTTCGGCTGGACTTTCACCAACGCTCGAGTGCTAGCCGACCACTATGCCGAGGAAGCAGACGTTACCGTGTATTTGCCTGATTTGTAAGTATCGTATCTGGATTGGACCGAAAGAAAAAGACCACAGCACCCTTTCGTTACCCAGTATCAATCCAGCATCGGGACATCTCGCGCAATGGTCAAAAGGTTGCTGACGACTCCACCCTTCTTCGATCGTTGGCTCCAGCTTCGACGGCGAGATCGTCTCTCCCGACCGCCTCTTTGGGACAGGCGAACATGTAAAGAGCGAGCCATTCGACGTCATGGCCTTCTTGGGCCGACACAGCAAGGAGATCAGGCAGCCGGGGATCTTTGCTTGTGCCACCGCGCTGAAAAAGGAATTGGGCTATAAGAAAGTCGGCGCAATTGGCTTCTGCTATGGTGGTTGGGCCGTCTTTCGACTGGGTGCCAAAGGTCAGTTTTGGATCGTTTCCCTCACCTAGGAAAGCCTTCTGTTTGCATTCTGGGGCGGGGTGATTCCACCGTTGGACCACCCGAACTCATGTTTAACAACTGTGGTATGGATTGAAACAGGCAACAACCTCGTCGACTGCGTATCCACCGCACACCCGTCTCTGCTCGAGAAACCCGAGATCGACGCCATCAGCGTGCCGGTACAACTCATCGCACCAGAGACGGATCCGACCTACACCCCCGAACTCAAGGAGTACTCTCTGAAAGTCCTGCCGACGCTGAACATCGATTTCGACTACCAGTACTTTCCCGGCCTAGTCCATGGGTTCGCTACGAGAGGCGATACCAGCGACCCGGCCCAGAAAAAGGGCCTCGAAAGGGCCAAGAACGCCGCCGTCTCGTGGTTCCGAGAATATCTGCACTGAGCTCGACCGGTCGACTTTTATTTACCATTTTATCACTTTCAATTGCTGTGGAGAGCTTCTCAACTCGCTCCTCTGCCACACGCCCACTCTTTTGGCCTTTCTGTTTTTTGTTTTTTTTTTTCGCCAGAACTCCTGTTCAGCCGGTCCAGGAACTTGCTCAGTTCACGATCGATGCTATTGATGGGGAACAAGGACAAGGACAAGTCCACTTTACTTGGACCAGGAAGATCTCAATGTTGAGTTTGAGTTCGGAGAGCGGAAGAGCAGCGACACTTGTGCGTGCAAAGTGGGAATCTGTCTTGTCAACGACCAGACAGTCCCTAGTTAGTTAGCGACTATTATTATAGGAAGCAAACCGAAAGCAAGCCAAAGCCATTTTCTGGACTTGGAAATATCCTTTCCATAGTTATCGCTCAGTGGTGTGTATGCGAGGAATCATATCCGTATCCTTGTGTGACCGCTCTTCCCGAGATCGAGACCAGGCACGCACAGGTCTGACCAGTCACACATGCAGTCTGCACCAGGCACAAACATGTCGCTGTGCCGGTTGAGCCCACCTATTTTCTTGATAGAATCTTGGCGCATCGACAGGAGGACCGTCGGGCCTCAAAACACACCCTAAAAGGCCTTGCACACAATCACCTGGGACTCATCTGTGCCACGCGCTCCAAGACGAGGGCAAATGTCGGCCAATGACCAACGGCCGTCATCAATTCGGCCGTTCTTAATAGGCTTTGCATGATGATGGTGTGACGCATGGGTGTAACCCGGTACGAGGTATCTATCGTTCAAATGCCTATATATTAATCAACGAAGGCGGGTCGCAGTATCTTTCTCCAAAACTCCTCCAACACCTTTGCCCTAGATTGTACCTCGTACAGATGACTCCAACTAGAAAATAAAGGCGTCGTACCCAAGAAGCAAGAAAATCCGTCGCCATGCTATTTTCCAACCTAATTCTATGCTTACAATAATGCCTTGCGGCTGATGTTTTTTCATTATTCATAACCATAAGTCTATCATGGTATCAATCTCCTCTTCCTGCTCCTCCTGCTCCTCCTGCTCCTCCTGCTCCTCCGTGTGCCTATCCTCCAAATGATGATCAAAGAAGAGCCTGTGGAAAAAGTGTCGTGAGCGGTCGTTGAACTGGTTATAAATAGGTCAAGGCTGGTGGGAGACTGAAAAACCCACACCAGAGGCTCTTATCGGTCATGAAAACCCAAAAATCAGGGCCCATTGAACCCTGTTTCTGCAACGATTTTTACCACCAAATGCTAGATCGAGGGCTTGGAATCTTGACCTTGCCGACTGGCTCAATGCTCCTCACACATCAACGGGTATGTGGCCTTTTGATGGAGTGCAATCTCTGATCAGGTTGAGGCACTTGGTGCTGGTGCTATCAGCAGTCAACCAGAAGTGGAAGGCTTGCTGTGAAGACGCCTGCACAGTTCGACGAAATGCGTCGGTAAGCCGTGAGATTTGTCACAGTAGATGAATCTCAAATACCGCATTGCTGTGGTGATGCTGTGAGCTTGCTGATGGGTCTACTGAGAAGACGCATGACCCGGGAGATAGGGCTTTGGTGAACGATTCTGTTGAAACAGCTCGGACCATTCTCATGCTCATACTTGACTTCAGCTATTGCCTTGCGCAGATCTCGACGGAAGGCACGACCGATCAAGATTTCCTGGCCATGGCCATCCTCAACCACCTTCACAGGGGTTGTGAAGAGAACGCCTTCGACGTTGCGAAGAGACCACTGGATGACAGCAATGCCGAGGACCTTAATCCGAGTGCCATCGTACTGAACAAGACCTATACGACTTTGAAGCTTCTCAGGCAAATCTTCAATTCGTGTCCAGGGTATCCCAAGTTTTGTGATGACACCCAACTCAGCCGTGTTATCGTCTGCGCCATCGTCAAAGACTGCACTAGCACCCATGAGCTTGTACTCATTGTGGCTGATGACGGTAATGCTCTGACTCCGCTCGATTTTATGGCCATCATCAATGTTTTTCAATAGCTTCTCCAACACCGGCAGGTCGTCTATGCTTGGATGAGAGACAACCGTTGGAGAACCCGTCAACATATTGTGGCGGGACGTGGGAAGGTTGGCATCAGGGTCTGTGCTCGAGGATGGGGGGGCAGGTAGGTCCGGAGATTGTGAGCTCGGGACAGCCATCGGCGTTCCCGATGATCCACTAGGGCCTCGATCTTTGACGAGATCGTTATGCTGCCATATCAAATGTTAAACCGAACACAGACAACGGAGGCTGATGCCGACTTACTCTCATGCGTGACCAAACCATTCCCAACCGGCGGAATCTCCCCTGCCTTCTCGGAGACGCAGATAGCGCAGCGTCGTAAGTCGAACTCCGTGGGGAAGACATCGAAACTCCCATGGAAGTTTGTGCACGGCTGAGTGGTGGCTGGTTGCAAATGATCTGGCCGTGCGAGCAGTCGATGGTGGCGGCCGAGAAGGGTCGGGGTTGCAAGACGCAACTGCGGCGCCACCACAGAGCGAGCACACTGTATTCGATAACAATTGAGCAGAGTGAGGCAGATCAGGGAATATGATTGATGTGGACAAACCCCAAAGAAAGTAGACGTTGTGAAAGATATAACTGCTCTAGATGTAATTACAATTAGTACTTGACCCTATGCCCATCTTTGGGGGGGAGGGGGGAAACAGTCGTTGGAGAGAAGGATCCAAAGTAACGCACCTTCTTCTGCCCTTTACTCGCGTGAGGTGAGGCGAACTAAGGGAGGAGAAAACGGTCGGTTTCTTCTCCCCCAAAAGCTAAATGCGTGGCAGTCAGTCCGTACTATCCTGCCTCTATAGAATCCCGAGATACTTTTCCACTACCTTATTCTGATGGATCATTATTTGACATTACTATTGTCTGTAGCTTATAAGGTCGTGATAAAGAGGATAAATTCTGGAGCTTTGTACCCGAAAAAATTGAGTAAGATGTAAAATAACTTGGGGGTATTGTGATCACTACTTCGCAGTCGCGTAGCAGTCGGATAATGACCCGTCGATGCTCATCCCGTTGACTCAGTGTGGTGCTTGGCTACAATTTCTCAGGAAACAAAATGGCTACGGAATTCTACCAGCCCACTGACTCGGACGTTCGGGCTTCTGTACTTGATACAGATTCAGCCTCGAAGGCTGCTCTGAGAGATGTGGAATGCCCTCCACTCAATTAAAGGTCTTTACTTACCCCACGGCGTCTGCTCCGCCACGAAGACTTCACAGAAAGCCTCATGTTCCAACTTTACTTGTCGTTTCCTTCTATGGTATCAGCATGTCGCCGCGGTCAAGGCTCGATCTAGTTCACTCCAAAGAATGGTAAGCTACGACGAGCTTTCAAACCTGCTGGGCGCATATCCAGACCTCATCATCCTCCGCCGCTTCGGGCCCCTGGCGTCACAAGTCCTGCTCCATCTACAGGCTGAACTCCTCGAACTAGACCACGACCTCGACTTCCTCAGAGCAGCCGAGAAAGCCGACCCCGAACAACAAGCGCATGCAAAGTCTTGGGCCAAGGCGAATGCATCAATCGCCCAGGGGAAACGGAGCATCCGGAAAGAATTGATTGAAGATGCCGAGAAGAAGCTTCTGAGATATTGTACGTCGAGGCGCCCACCCTGTCTGCATCTATCCCACGAGTTCCTTGCGAATTTTGCTGATTCACTCGCCAAAGATCAATTTGTCACACACACATCTGGCGTGCTCAAGCTTCCCCAGCCTGATCGGTGCGACATGGATTTCCTGTGCACTTGGCTCGAGAGTGAAAGAGGAGGCAATAACTTTCTCAAAAAGCACTCGGACGCCGAGGCCAGAGCGTGGGATCCCCAGCAAGCCAGAGACCTCATGACCGTGAACAAGCGGAGAGACCGTTTCGCGGCCTGGGTGGGCAACACCATAATGCCGCTATATCACGGCAAAATTGGCCATCGCATTCATCCAAGGATTGATGATGGGTCCATCGGGCCGCGATACTGGTACGACGATGGTCACTTCGCGGCTGTAGGGAATGTTACCTGCACCGTGCTTTCGTCGGTCATTCCGTCCATCTCCATCGTTGCCCTCTACTATATCCAAAATATGCTTGCTCGGCTGCTGGTCATCATCGCCCTGAGCACCTTGTTCTCGCTGATCATGAGCTTCGTGGCACAAGGTCGTCGATACGAAGTCTTCGCCGCCACGACGGCCTTTGCAGCCGTTCAGGTCGTTTTCGTCGGTGGTGTGAATTTTGTGGTCGCAGCCCAGCCACAGCCAGCCTGATGATGTTTAAAGTTTTTCTTTTGTTTTTCTATACCAGGTCAGGGATCTGATAATAGGATCTGATAGCTAAGATGGAGCAACGACGGCGGCGCGGCTTCGGGGAAAGTTAATTTGAACACCAGTGACACCTTAGCAGTCAAAGTCTGAAACGATCGCCGTCGTTCACGTAATTTCATTTTTGTGTCGTCGGCGGAAAGGTTCGCTGGTCTGATCACCTGCACGAAATCATAGTTCAGAGATTGAAAGACCAGAGTTCATTACGTATCAGATTACTAGCCGTACAACAGATCCATCATGTAACGCAGCAGATCCTTTGTCAACTTAAAACGGATTCGGCCGTTGTCAATAACCAAGAGAATTCCAATAAAAAAAAAAGGTTCCTTCAAGAGCTTCATGCTGTTGTGCCAACGCTTTGCGCAGAGGAAGCCTGGCCTTGATGTTGCTGGCCTTGAGTGTTTTCATTGCCCTTGATCAGCGCCGCGAACTTTTCGGACTTGCATTTGCTTGACGCCTCCACAACGCCCTGGTGAGCGGCGTTTGCATGGTCGTTTTGCTCCTGCTGTCGTTTCACCTCTTCTGCATACAAGTCAGCCCCCGTGGTGAAGTTAATGGTCAGGATGAGTCGAAATTACCATCAGTCAGCACAACGCTGTAAAGAGGCTTTAGCGATGGAATCACCTCTGACGACTCCTTTAATTGTGGCAGCCACATTTTATATCGACCGCTGAGCTCGGAAGTAACGAAGAGGTCGGCCTCGTACGAGTACGGCCCACCCACCCAACGCCAGACTGCTGTGAGTTTGCCATGACACTGCACCATAACGCCATCGATGTTCACTGTGTAAGGTCGCTCGAGAGGTTTGAGCTTCTCATCGTATTGCTGGGGTGACCGCACCAAGTTGAGAGCCAGCTGCTGTGAGATGATGATACAGTCAATATCGGCGTCATTTATCTCTCCGCGAGGCACCTCAACCCATTTCCCCACACCGTTGACCGAGACGTCTATTCCCTGATAAGATGGCGTCAGAGTAGCTGTTCAGAAGAAGAGACAAACATACCATGTCTCGCGTTGATTGCGATTCTTCTTTCTCGCAGAATTCCTGTTTACTTGCCGGCCTGCGACAGTAGTGGCTCACAGTCGAAAAGAGCCAAGCGAAAACTTTTGTATAAGTTGACCTTGATCGGTGGTCTGAACGAGTACCAAGGGGTTTCTGTAGCTCGTCGTCGGATAGATGCTCGTCAGCGTAGCGATCGGGCCGCAACTTATGATCGAAATGCATTCTACACGGAGTGAAGAAAAGATCAGGCTGAGAGACTTTGGCGCTGCGGTCTGTATATAAACCGAGGGAGAGGAGACAAATGAGCTGCACGTGGCGCTCATACCCCGGCTGCACGAGGGTCTCGAGACGTTTGCTACAGTCAGAATGCTCGATAAGTTCCTAACCTTAGCTTTTGGGCAAAGGGGCAAGAACAAGCAGGTGACCACTGCGGCCGAGCAAGGAGCGGTTTGTTGAGAGCGCAACCACAGTGGCTGATGTGACAGGTGTCATTCCTTGGGCGATGTTACCAATAGAGAAGCTTCTGAAAGCGATGCTGTAAGGGCGACTATGAGGCTGAAAGATCCGACTCCAGCGCATGTTGGGATAACGAGGCAGATGAATCATACCCCACATGCATATTTTCAACTTGTTGTCCAGGTGGGGGAAAGCACCATTACGGTAGTGTGACATCGTTCAGGTCCGACCAATAAGGTTTCTCCATCTCAAAAAAGCCATGAGGCAGTCAGGCTGAAACCAGGACGAGACTTGTATACAGGCATTTAGGTAACCCAACACACCCTCTACCTCGTACTTGTAGATGAAACGAGGAGCAGCTGGCTTCCTCTGTGAGGCTGCAGGTAGCATTTGTGCTTGGACTTGCAAAGAATTGGGCAAGCAAGACAAGGCTGCTTTGTGAAGCTGAGGGCCATCACCAGTGCGTTGGACTCTCGGGTGTTAACCTATCAGAGCATCGTGCATCCCCGGGTGCCCAGTCACCCGGCCGACTTGCCCAGATGTGCCTTAGGGCGGGGTCATCGGAGCAAACGACCTTGGCAAGGTCCACCCGAGCGACTAGGCTGAGTACAGGGCGGCATCACCCTCGTCCCGATCGGGGTTGACATGGCTGCAAAATTCCTGGGTCTAGGCCTGATCTTTCTAGACAGATCAGCCTTGCGAGTGTCTTCACTGCCCCTATATCTCTGGGGCGCGTCTCTCAGCCCATGACAGGGCAATACGCCGGTGTCGAAGAGAGTCGAGACAACCCACTACAGAGTGTTATCCACGCTGAACCGCCGCCCGTCTAGGCCGAGCAACAACGAACTACGGCATCAGAGGAGACGAGGAGGGGAGAGGATCTGAAGGGTTTGGTAGTGGCTGGGCCGTCGTTGTCGCGCAGGGAGATGGGATTGGATCATACGGGTAGATCTGCCGCGGGTTTTCTACCGGGCTGGGATGAAAAGCAGTCGTTGGCACTACATGTATGCATACAGCCCTGGACCAGGATGGGATGGCTTTGAGGGAGACTATGGAGATGGTCGTGTCGTGCGGAATGAGACCCGGGTCCAAGATTGTACAGAAACGGAGGGAGACAAAAGGGTGAAATGGAAAGAGAGGGAGAGGGAAATCAATCGTCTGCGCGGTGTCCATACTGCATACATAATAACATGGACTATGAATCCCTGAGAACTCCAAGAAAAGCCGCCATCTATGTGAGGTTCCCCCTTCTCTTCATCTTTCTCTTTCTATTCTCTTTCGTCCCCAGTCTGTTGCTTTGTGCCTCAGTCCCAGTCCCCTTAACTTGTACTTGTACAACATACGACACCACACCATACCTACCAAAATGTCATACATATCGATCTCCCTTCCTTAAATGTCCCTCCCAGAACAACTGAACATCACATATCGGGGACATAAAAAGTGGTAGAGAGCCCCACAGTATAGAATGTATCATCGTGGTACTGCTGCCATCTCCGCTTCCGAGTCCACTTCTTTGACCGACTCACTTGACTCACGCACAACGCATGATGGTTTGGGACTGCTTCGTGGAGGCGACGGAGGGACCCGAAGAGAGCTCGTGACGAGGAGAATAGGAATTTCCGCTCGGCCTCCGGCTCTGGCTTGTGGCTGGTACGAAACTGTTGCCCGTGAAATGGACATGGATAGGTGAGAGAAGGGCGTCGTGTTCGGGTCCAGTGACCAGTTGCTTCGATCTGCGACGTTTATTCATCCCCCTCTCTTTATGTGTATGTTTGTGTATGCGTGCTGCGAGAGAAGAGGAACAACGAAGGGAAAAGTAACAGGGGAATATACTAGACGTTTAGTGAGCGAAAGAGGAGGGGGGGGGGAGGGTGAATGTGTTTGTGTGTAAGGAGTGCACACAGGAACCTTGGAAGTGAATCAGAAAGTAACCAGTACCTACGAAGACACTACAGCTCCTTCACGAGACTAGAACAGACAATAAAACAGGTCTCTCTCTTCAGACACAGATATCAAAGACATACAGACCCTTTACGACCAACACACCCACGCCCACGCAGACACACTCTCTCTTCTGTCCCCTACCATTCCCTGCCCTGCCCAACCTCACGAAACCTCCCACATCTCCATCTCTTACATCTCGCACCACCACGCTAGAGCTTCAGAGGAGTCAAGACTCTTGTCGTTCTTGCGTTGTCTCATCGATCCAACCGTCCTTTTGCCTGCGTCGAGTCGCCGACTCGACTCGAATCGACTTGACCCGCCCAAGTGGAGTCGATATCAAAGGCACACTACACTACACCACACTACTCTACACTACAGAGTCCACACTACACTACACTACACTGCACCACCAGCAGATCCGTCGTGCCGTGCCGTGCCATGTCATGTCGTGGCAAACCTCTACCGTCAAACTTGATCATGACAACGCCACACTACTCCGAACTACTCTGCACTACCCTACCCTACGCGGACAGGGGAGAACATCTTCGCACCAGATATAAATACGAACAGGGAGTCATGGAGATACACAAGCAGAGTGGGGCGGAGGCTGGCCGGGGATGATCAGCGTGGGCAATTGCAAGACTGACGGGACATGATGACTAGATGGCTACATGGCTAGATACGAAGACTGCCGGCGTCCAATCTCAAGGTGGAACACCAAAAGGTGCTTTAGTTCCTTACAAGGAAGCCTAGAGACCATAGAGAATTGAGGATGAAAAGGAAAAGAGGACAAACTACAGAGACAAGGAAAAGTAACAACGTTCTGGTACCTTCTGGGTTCTTAACCCTGCCAAATTCGGATGCATACAAGTGGTGGGAGAGAGGGAAAGCAACCATACACCATGCCTTCGAACGTGCTGTCGTCCATTCCAGCATCCATGCCAGCTGTCCTGTATGTATCAATGTGCTGATATGCCCATGTCCAGATGTCCCCGATGAGCAAATGCCCTGTCTGTGCACCATGTCGCCTTCGCTTCGCTATGCTTCACCGCTCAAATGACCTGCAGTATACCCTTGAGAGCAATGCATTGCGCTATCCCATATGCCTGCGGTTTTCCATTCTCTCAACAATCTGTGTAGAAAAACGAAAAGGTTCACAAAGGAATGAGTGTCCGGGTAGACAAAGGAAAAAAGCGACCTCGTGGTTTAGCGACGGCGTTGGACAGTCTGCCAGCCATCCGAGTCGGTCCCTTTCCTGGCACGGGTACCAACACCTGGAACAAATTTTGCAATATTCGGGTTGTAAGAACGGCCACTTGATCCAGACTTCCCACTGTTACTGCGATCTCGGGGACCTGTTCCGGGATAAGGAATTTGGGTGATCAAGTTCATGGGCCGTTCGCAAGGGTCATGAGAGAATCCAACCTGGACCTCTTGGTAGGGTCCTGGCCTCCTCGATCGACGAAGAAACTCCTCTCGGACAATGCGGGCAATGACGGTAGACGAAAAGACCGCAGTAGCTAGAGCAATAGAAGTCAGAGCGATGACAAGGTAGGGGAAGGGGGTGCCGACTTACCATTACCAGTGTTAAACAACCATACCAACTCGACATTATGTCGACCGACAAGTTCAACCAAGTCCCTCCTGAATCTGTCTTCAGTCAAGCCGTTGGTGAAGAGTTGTTGACGAGCAAAGGTCAAGCGACGACGCTCGTTGGTCGGAGGTTGCATTCGAGCAAGGTCCTCGTTCTCGGGATAGGCCTCGCCATACTTGACCTCATGGCCTTTTCCAAACAAGCCACAGCCATAGTCATGAACGGCTTCGACTTCCTCGTTCATGAAAACCATGGCGGCACCGGCGTACTGGAAGATGACACAGACGGCCTCATATTGCTCCACGTATGCCATGGAAAAGATGGCACCAGTGCTAATCCGTTCCGTCACCATGCTCAAGGGCTTATCTTTGGACCAGCCATAGATCCAGATGCAGCGGAAGTCCTCCTCCCGCGATGGACCGCATTGACCCTGGTTCGAGGCTTGCTCGGTGATGTGTCGCTTTAATCCGTCAGACGGTCCAAACTTGACCAAACGATTGTTGCTTGGGATGTCGGTTGCAGCAACCGCTGCCCAAGTGGATGAAGTATTGGATCTTGCAGCAGGACAACCTGCGTTGCCATTTTGAGGGAGGAGTTGAGCTTTGGCGACAGGGATAGAGTTCATGCGGAATTTCTCAATAGACCAAGGAGCCGTGGTCTGATTGAACGTGTCAAGCATGGAGTGGACGTCCCGTGCAATGCCATTCGCTGCTTCATTTTCACCCTCGCCTCGCAGCTTGTTCCATGATTAGTCCAGCGCGCTGCACATGGGAACAGCCGTTCCTTACATGCTCCACAACCCGATTCAAGTGGCTCAGGGCATCCGCCATAATGTCGCTGACATGGAGAGGGTCGTTTCCGATTGCCATCATGTCCTGTGTTGATGCCTGATTAGCACGGGTTCGTCTTTTTCGCCTTGCGCGGCATCTGGAGAGGGACGAGGGGTTTGGGGGGGAAAAGGACAAAGGATGGGTGTTCAAGGGTAGGGAGGGACCAACTTCAGAGTCTTCACTACTGGCGTCACTGTAGGTGAGAGAAGGAGAATAGATTGGATGGTGGGAGGGGTGGCCGAGGCTGCGCCAGGTTGGGCTAGAGGTGGTAGAGGAGGAGGAATATCTGGAGAGCATCATGGTGGAAGAGGGAGGAGGAGAGCAGGAGATGTGTCTCAACAACTCTGAAAGGGGTGCGGCACAAAGGCAGGGCACTTGGGGGGTGAAGCGTGAAGCGTCAATAGAGCTTCTTCTCCTCAAGCCCAAGGCAGTAAACAAGATTGTGTGTTTCCTGTCGCCACTTCACTTTGGATGCCTGGGGGAAACAAAGAAGTCAAGGAAGGCTCCCGCTACAGAACCAGAAACAGCAGTGCAGGTTTCGCGTCAAGCAGCAGCTACCCGAACCAAGATAAAAGAGCTGGTTTTGATGGGCTTTTTTTTCTTTCTTCAAAAGATATCAAGATAGTTCGATGGACTGGGTTCCTTTAGATTTTGTTTTCAACACTGAGGATGTGGGAATTTGTTTGCTCCTCTCAGTCCTGGTGGGAATCTCATCTCATTTGTATGTCTGGCCACCTCCAACCATTGCTCCACAGTGGGAGAAACCACCCCTCAGACCCGTTGGTCCATGGTCCATGGCCTTCTGGATCTCAGCATTTTGATAATATAAACTTGCAGATAAGGGCCAAAGGGAGACAAAACACCATAGCGGACAAGCTGCTCGTCAAGCCCGCCGGAACCTACAGAGTTATCACATGTGCCAACTGGAGCTGATCCATATTTCTTCGCTTCATCTTCCAATCGTAGAGTCTTGTCTCGGTGAGCGCCAGAACGCCATCCTGATGCCCAACTCCCGACCCAATGCCCGTCTTGCCTCGATTGTCCTGGTCATAGCATCTCGATTTTCGTGGGCACGGCGAAGGAGATATTTCATACACTCCCCCATCTTGCCCCAAACCAAATATTTATATGCCTTGGGAACCTCCACGGTGTGGTTGCTGTCGTGCGACGCTAAACGGGTCCTTGCCCGCTGTACCACCTCGTAGCTGACGTTGTCCGCCATCCCCATCAGTTGGCCATATGCCAGTTCGATCCGGGGCTCGCCAGTACGAGCTTGCTCATCTCGAAGTTCGCTGGCTAGTCTGACCGATTCAGCATTGTGGGTGGCGAGCACGAGAGCAACCCGAGGGAATTCCGTGGATCCTCCCTCCACAGGCTGCAGGATGCCCTGGTATCGCCGTTGCAGGATGCTCCTCGCGATGCCGTTGTAGCAATTGTGGGTCTCGTCGATGGTGGGCCAGAACAGCTCGCGAGGATCACTTCCCATGTAGGCTCCTCGCACCAGCTTCACCCCGAGCACGAAGCCTTCTGTTCGAGCTAGCTCAAGATGCCGTGCCAGATTTTGTGGCGTCTTTTTAGCATACGCCTGGTAGGTGCCGTATACCAATGCTTGTTCGCGGTTGTACCGCTTTGCAAAGTACATTGTCCAATTGTCGATGCCTTGTTGCAACGATGCCTGTTCGGCATCGAACAGAAGTTTGACCCCTTTCTCTTGAGCTCGTTTGCAGATATCATGTACAGCCTCCTCAAACTCTGGTGAACACGCAATGGTCGCCTTAAGATGTCGAAGGGCTTGACGTCCAGCTCCAGTGAATTTCAGTGCGACAAAGTCGCCCTGCTGAGCGAGGTCCACCGTATCGATGGTGTTCTGTCTCCACGTGGCAATCTCCTCAGCATCAACGTGTGCTTGTTCTGAAGCATTCTTGGGAACCACCAATCCCTCGGCCTCTTCCTTACTAAGGACAACCTCTTTTGCGTGACCCAATATAACCCCCTTAAAGCCGGTTCTCTTCAAGTCTGAAATTGTCCTTCGGACCTCTGATGGCGTCTCGCCAGCACAGAATTGGGCGTAGAAGGTGTGCTTGAGGAGCGAGTGAAGAATCGGATTGCGGTCGGGGTTGAACAGAGGCGACTTCGTGTGAGCAAGGAAGGTCATGGCGACTAACGAGGGACGAAGTAGAAATGGAACGGATGATATTGAGGTGATGAAATACGACCGCAGCAACGAATTTAAGGGCACGCATGCCAACGGTCTTGGTGAGCGCATGTCTAAGGTGTGAGTGTCAGTCTCGACAACATCGTATGCTGTAGATGTAATGTTGCGCCGTGTATGCGCTTTGCGATGTTGACGTTGTTGTATCTGTCGGTAGCCCTTGTTTTCTATACAATAATCATGACCTCGTAGGCGTGTTTCGTGCCGCGAACACACAAAAAGAGCAGGGATGGACTGTATGTAGAGGATCTGTCTCGGAGGTATTCGTGACGTCAATCTGCTATACAAGTAGAGGTCCATTCTGAGGATTGAGAGGGAGTGCAAAGTAGGGATAGGAGTAGAAGGGAAATCATGAAGGGATGTACAAACTCATTTCAATAAATGATAGCAACAGTGGGCTAATCAAGATAGAGGGGAGTGGGAGTAGTGGCAGTGAATAATGGTCACCAGGTATCCCGCATTGTAGATAGGTACGTCAGTCGCCAATCTCGCCGCCCATCTCCACGCGCCCTTCGAGATAAAGAGGAACTGGTGGGTCTTATCGGCTGAGTTTGAGCCGTGAATAGCCGCAAGCGGAAGCGACATAATGCAGGAACCAACTGGCAACCCTCGCCGATTCTGGCAGTGTCACCTGTGTCCACATCTCATGCCTAGAAGACATTTGAAGATACACAAACCTTGTGATCATTTGTCGCTATACTTGTTGGTTTGTATTGTTGAGCAGCAGATCAGAGGTTGGTCATCAAACAGTAGACAACTGGCACCCCAACCAGACCTCTCTGAGGTGGGCAAATCCAGAATCAAATCAGGCGCATCTCATCAGAACTGGCTATGTCTAACAGACTGTCGACCTTCAGGTAAGGAAGAAAGAATGATAATGATGGAACGAACAGGTGGGTTATTCTACTGCAAGTTGGGCAGCAGTCGAGGTGCACGTGATCAGAACGTTGCTTGGACAACCAAATCCGCCAAGACAACTAACTCGGATTGGGCCAAAGTCGCAACATTGAATCTCAAACCGTAACTCGTACACTACAGTTCAAGTCACGGCTCTCCACACACACCTTCAGCAAGCCACGGTCTCGACCACTGTATCTGGCTTGCGCTCTACTATCTACGAGCCTCACTCTTCATACCATTCATGGTAGATTGCTTCGCCTCCCATTCTATCTTCGGCGTGTCCTGATGAGCTCCGTTTGGGTGTAATCACGCATCTCAAGCAGCTCATACTGCCACAATGGCCTCTGACGGCGCCTCTTCAATTTCTGTCACTGTTCGAGTGAGACCGTTCACTATCCGAGAAGCCGCTCAATTGACGAAATGCGATGACACAACAATATTTCTGGGTGACGGTTCGCTGGCTGCTGCCCCAACTCCAAAGCTCTCTCAGAAGGGCATCCGGTCGGTCATCAAAGTCGTCGATGAAAAGTGTTTGTATGTGCCGCCCGCCGTTCGATGGAATCTTTCAACAGGCTGACTTACTCCTTCAGGATATTCGACCCCCCCGAAGACAATCCTGTTCAGAAATTCTCACGATCCGTCATCCCCTCCGGTAAACGAGTCAAAGACCAAACTTTTGGCTTCGATCGAATCTTTGACGAAAACGCATCTCAGGGCGAAGTTTACGAAGCCACCACAAGACCTTTGCTAGATAGTGTCTTGGACGGATATAATGCAACAGTCTTCGCTTATGGCGCAACGGGTTGCGGAAAGACTCACACCATTACTGGCACCGCTCAAGAACCGGGCATCATCTTCTCAGCGATGAAGGAGCTATTTGAGAGGGTCCAAGAGCAGTCCAGCGAAAAGATTACAGAGATATCGTTATCATATCTGGAGATTTACAATGAAACCATCCGTGATCTGCTCGTGCCTAGCACCGTCAGAGGCGGGTTGATGTTGAGAGAGGATTCAAACCAAGCCGTCTCGGTTGCAGGGCTCTCGAGCCATCACCCACAAAGTGTTGAAGAGGTCATGGAGATGATTGTGAGAGGGAATGAAATGCGGACAATGTCACCCACAGAAGCCAACGCAACTTCTTCCCGCTCGCACGCCGTGCTACAGATCAACGTTGCCCAGAAAGACAGAAATGCCGGTGTCGAGGAGCCTCACACAATGGCTACTTTGAGCATAATCGACCTCGCCGGGAGCGAGCGTGCAAGCGCCACCAAAAATCGAGGCGAACGACTACTTGAAGGCGCCAACATTAACAAGTCTCTTCTGGCACTGGGCAGTTGTATCAACGCCCTTTGCGACCCCCGCAAACGAAATCACGTTCCTTACAGGAATTCCAAACTCACGCGTCTGCTCAAGTTTTCTCTAGGCGGGAACTGCAAGACTGTTATGATTGTTTGCGTCAGCCCTTCAAGTGCGCATTTTGACGAAACGCAAAACACTTTACGGTATGCCAACCGAGCCAAAAACATCCAGACAAAGGTGACTAGAAACGTGTACAACGTCAATCGTCATGTCAAGGATTACCTGGTCAAGATCGATGAACAGATGGCTCAGATTAACGAACTAAAGGCTCAGCTGAAGGAGGCCGAGACGTTTGCTTTTGCCAAGTTCAAGAAGCAGAATGAGAAGAAGGAAAGCATTGCCCGAGAGGGAGTCCAAAGAATCAAAGCGGCGTACGAGAATTCTGCGGCCGAGAGACAAGAACGGACCAACAACATGATCAAGCTGAAGCAAATTGGCCGAAGGATTGCCATGCTCTCTTCATGGATTTCTGCCTTTGATGCAGTGTGTGATGGCCTGGATGAAGACGACCTCATGAAGAATATGCAGGCCGTGAAGAAGACAGCTCAAGGCATCATGATGGAGTTGGAAAGCGGTCGACACCACTGCCAGCAGAAGGTCCTCAAGAGCAGCTGGGATCGCCCCATGAACACGGCACTGGAGCATAGTTTGAAACAGCTGAAGGACGTGGACACTGGCGACATGATTGATTCCGAAATGCTTCGACGCGAAGTGGAAATGCTCAAGTTGAATGCTGAGCGTGAGTCATTTGCAGCTGTGGCCGAGCAAGACAAAAACGGAGATGCTCCCACCATTCAAGTTCTGCTACGAGCCCACTTTGAGACTATCGCTGCCATCGAGAGCTTGAACCGCATGAGCGTCGAGGAGGCAGTTGAAGCTGCCAACCAGATTTTGGGAAAGATGATCAACTCCGCATCTGGCGCAGCATCATATGTCGTGAGACCAGATGGAAGTCTTGCTCCTGTCGAGGCATTTGGGCCGACCAAGGCTGGCACCCCCAAGCGACGCAAACAGAGCATCAACAACTCCATCCTGGACGGGAGTCCTGTGAGGGTGATCAAGCCTCCGGCGGTCATGGCTACTCATCTGATGACATCTCCAGCCAGAGCCTCGCCTAGACGTCGTGGTCTACTGGGAAGCGCAAAGAAGGGTGTCCAACTATCCTTTACTCCGAAGAAGAGAAAGTTTCCTCCCAAGGGCGTTAAACGAGCTGTGCGATGGAAAGACGACATTGAGGATGGTGCACTCGCGGAGTTTGAGAAGACGCCGCAAAAGGTTCCGTCATCGGATGAATCGACCACCGAAATCAGCATCCCTCAGGTGTCAGACCTGACCTCGTCCTTCTCGAAACTGCAGACACACTCTCCCAGTTCCTCGCCCATCCCGCCTCCGCCCGAAGCCACTCTCAACATTCAGCCGAAGAGCAGTCGTTTCCAGGCCGGGTTTCTGTCCAAGAAATATGATGGCTCACCCCTCAACTCAAGCATGCTGCCCCCGAAGATGACACCACTGTCATCCTCAGACAGCGAGGCCTCACCGCTGAGGGAAATCGATCCGAGTAAGGCATCGAACCGTCGCTCCTTCACTCCCATGCAGCCTAGCAATCACACCTCAGATGCACGCCATGACACTTGTCATACTTCCCCAGCCTCGAACTCGGACACCGAAAACCAGAATAGCTCAGCCTCTGATAAAGAGGATGCGCTGAAGATTCGCGAAGCCGTAAAACGCTCTTCTTCCCTTCGCCGCTCAGGTATCCACGGATCTCGGACTCAACGTCGCCGCTCGCCCACCGCAGCAACGGCGGGAGTCGCTGCGTCTCCCACCAACGAGTCGATGTTCGCTGCCGGCCATGTTAGGAGAATGGTTCATGGCACAAAGAACGAGCTCTTAAAAGAGAACGACGCAGGGTCTTGGAAGGTCGGGGTTCTGAGTCCCCGGGTTCAAGGCATTGTTAGCCATGGTAAGAGCTCTCTTGTGGCACCATCTAATCCTATTAGGCGGACGACGATGGGAGGCCCCGAACGTGGGGGTGGGACTAGGCTCTCTTCTGTCGTCTCGGGGGCTAATGCTCACGGACATTCGAGCAGCAGAGGAAGTTTAATGCCTACTGGGAAAGCTGTGTGGCGTTGATGGAAACACTCTGCGAGGCGGTCACTGTTAAAGGGGCCGGTCATTTCTTGCACTTTTGTGTTATAGACTTGTGGTTGAAACTGCGACCAGAAGCAGAGGCTGAAAACTGGACATTGGAGTACAGGTCTTGAACACGGACTGGACGGGGGCAAATGGGATGGCTGGGACGACATCAAAATGAGGATTATCATGAACGGGGTTGATTTTTTTTGGTTCCTGGATGCAATTCGTCTTGGACTCGGGCAGTTGGAGAGAGTCTGTGGCCTCGATCCTTGACTACTCAGACCTCCTCGATCAGAGACGAAGGACTTCTGTTGCTCCTGTTTGTACATCAATTAGACGCCTCTGCGCCGTCTGACCGATGGTTGCGAGCTGATTTATTAGCTGTGCAAACCGTGTGGAGAGACGATGCTATTCAATGCGAGAAGCTTTGTCCTTGTTTCGGACTTTTGCTGGTTCGACGTCAAACTATTTCACTGAACTGAGATCGAGCCTGGAATTGACTGGTAGTCGAAGACATTCTCGGACATGCATTCTGTGTAGTCATTGATTGGCATGGAGGATTGAATTGTCCCTGTCAGTCACACCGTCCAAGTAAAAACAAGCAAACCTCTCGCTCGTCAAAAGCCCCCTTTGGTCAAGTCATCGAGGTCCGCCATGACGTTTTTGCTCTCGTAGACCTTCCACTGCTCCCGTGCGATCGAATCCGTAAAGTCCTCGTCGTTCAACATGTCGACGTCGGCGTCGGGATCGTCGACCGCCCGGCCGGGAAGCTGGACGCCCTGGTCCCAGTCGAAGAAGTTGTCCTTGTCCCAGAGCTCCTTGACCCGGCGCAACTCGTGGCGGTTGTCGCCGAAATAGGCCCTCTCGTAGACACCCTTGGCGAGGATGCCGTCGGGGAAGTTGACAAAGGCGGCTTGCTTCCCGAGCGAGTAGGGGCGCAGTTCCTTCTTGACCTTGCCGAGGAAGCCTCGCATGTCCCGCTCCATCCACTTGTCCTCCCACTCGAGCGTGACGTAGGCGTGGTAGACGGCCTGGCGCCAGAAGAAGGCCGTCTCCGACGGTTGCTTCTCCATGGCCTTGCCGCCGGAGTGGATCCAGGTTACGAGAAACTCGACCTTCTCGCCCGAGTAAAGCCGTCGGAACGTCTCCATCTCCTTCTTGATGATGGCCGTCAGGTTCTCGATCGTGGTCGCGTCGTTGGTGAAGACGAACGAGCTGTAGATGCTGTACGTCTTGTTGGTCGGGAAGGACCGCACCGTCTCTTCGGACCACTGGGCCACGAGCGTCTCGTGCAGGAACCGCGTCGATTCTTCAGGTAGTGAGCGTCGTTTGAGTTGCTTGGCCAGGTCGGCGTGCTTGATGTGCTTGTCGATCAGGTTGTTGAACTCGTTCTTGTTCCCGTCAAAGTACGTCAGGAACCGGATCCCGTCGCCCGTGTTCTGGCGGAGGTCGCAGAGCCAGGTGCTGTCGATCGTGATCTTCTTGGGCCAGTCGGTCGTGTAGAAGGCGTTCATGGTGGGGATCAACGACGCCATGTTCTCTGCATCGGGGAACCATTGGTACCGTCCAGCCACCACGACGCCGTCGCGGTTCGACAGTCGCTGGACCTTCAGCTTCATGCTCACCAGGACGCCAAAGTTCCCGCCCCCAGCGCCACGGAGTGCCCAGAAGAGCATGCCTTCCCGCGAATCCCGTGGATGGTTTTCGTGGACGGTAACCTGGTCTCCGTCCGCCGTCACTACAGTGGCTTCCATCAAGGTATCACTGCCCATCCCAAAGCTTCTGGTAAAAGGACCAAGCCCGCCGCCCATGATGAACCCGCTCACGCCCACGGGCGGACATCTCCCGCCGTTGATTATGAGGCCGTTGCCTTTGCGTCTGTTGTTGATCAGCGTCTTGTACACGTCGCCCCACTGACAGCCGGACTCCATTGTGACAGTCTCCAATTTGGCGTCGAGCTTAACGTTCTTCATTCTCCTCAGATCGAGCGAGATGCCCCGGAACGCGGTCGAGTGTCCGGCATACGAATGACCCGCACACTTGATGGTGACTTTAAGCCTCCTCGACTTCGCCTGTTTGATGATGGCCTGCACCTGGGCTGCATTCTCGGGCTGTATCACACAGTCAGGCCTCGAGAAGCGGTACAGCAGGTTCGGGGTTGCCACAGAGCGCTCATACTCCTCTTCCTCCTTTTTCGGACCGCTAGGGCTGAACACTGGAATATTTGCGGACCTCAAGATCTCAATTGCTCGATCCATGGTGATCAGTATCAGGATAGAGTCGAGAAGGACAGCCTTGAGCGAGTGTTCGCATCCGTGAGTTCCATGATCCGAGTAGACCACTATTGGCTATTTGACCGTCCTGGCCATGCAGCCGCATCCTCCTTCGCAGCTCTCGCCCTCTTTGTATCTCCGAGCTGGCTGACAGATTGCGGAGATGCTTTGTAGTCAACAAAGGGAAAAAGGATGAGGAGGGGCACAGCCACCACGAGGACTTTGAGTACGAGAAGCATGGGAAACCATATCACCAATGAAAGATGCCTCGCTGGTTTTTGGTCTCGACCTCATGAATGCCGAGTATCTTTTGTTTGGTCCAAAGCAAACCGGTCAGTCAGGTAGTGGAGCATGCTTAGAAATGTGAAATGCATCGCGATGTCTTCATCAATGTTGCTTGGGGCTGTTATAACGAGGAGGAAGAGGCCGAACTCGTCTCATGGTCCGATGCCATGCCTTCCTAATGTGGTTAGCGACCCCTAATCAGGTAAAGACTCGCCGTTAGTGTGGACACCCAAGGCTTTTCGTCGTCGCTCCAGGTCCGACTTGACATCAAACTGCAGATTCTACACCATACACATTGGGTTGTTTCTCTGCCGGTATTGGACACTCGGGAGTTCTTGAATTTCCTCTATCGCCCAATATGGGAGAGACAGCTGCACGTTCGCCTCTTTTCGACAGGGTGGATGACGTGTCGCCTTTTCTCCCGCCTATGGCCTCGAGCCACGCGAGCCCAATGTCTTCCCCGCTCGATAATTCCGGCCCCCTTCTATCTCAGAGCCTCACCAAAGGTCCTGATAGTCTCTCTATCAAGCACGCCGTGCTGTTCTCCTTCGTAGGGATTGACGGTTGGTGGTCAGCCGTTGCGAGCACATGTGGGGCATAGTAACCGGTGAGGCATCTTCGTTCCTCCGCTAACACTGCAACAGCAGCGTTTGGGATTCCGTTGCAGCATGGAGGCTCCACGGGGATAGTTGCACCAGGGTAGACTGGTATTTATACTCAAACTGAACATGTCCTGCGTTATTTCAACCCTCTCTTGAAATTTCTCAACCGCAGAGCAATCGAGGTTGACAGAAGCCAGACATCTCACAACAATGGGTATCCATGAAGATGCTCGCAGAGGGACTTTGACCGAGGCAAGGCTCGAAAAGTACCTCGACGCAGATTGGACTATTCTCGACCAGCGAGACTCGGTCGAAGGTCTGACACCACTTGGGGCTGCCACGGTAGGAGGACACGCCGACGAGGTCCTGTTGCTTCTCAAAAGCGGGGCAAAAGCAGACATTCTCTCCAGAGATGGTGCAACATCTCTCCTCCTTGCCGCATCAAGAACTGAGAAGAACCGTGCTCGCATCATCCAATTGCTCCTGGCGAAGACACCTTCCAATGCCATTGACGCAACAACCGCAGCAGTCGGAAACAATACACCATTGATGTTCGTTGTGCTGAAGAAGGATGCCGAATCTATCAGGCTACTTCGAAAGGCCAGAGCATCAGTGACACTGACAAACGATGATGGTCACACCGCGAAATTCTTGGCCGATAGTACTTACGACAGGGTTGTTATCCGCGCCCTCAACCCAGAAAAGGAGCAGAGTGACTTCTCCAAGTTAATCGACATGGTTGTCGGACTACTCCTGTTTGTTGTTGCATGGGTCAACAAGGTCGCTGATGATGTCGTCCGTCGGGCGTACGGTATACATATCGACCTCAACGAGGCCTGGGATCAGGTATGTGCCAACACCTTTCACCGACAGCATAGGTCCAAACGGGTTGTCTGCTGATGGCAAAAGTAGGCTGTGAACCGTGGCGAGGATCCGACCACGGTCGAATTCGTGGAAAAGGTCGACGAGGTTGTCAAGGACTCCCCCATAGAGCGTTTCTTCGAAGGCAAGGAAGACTTTGTCCGTGAAGTGGCAAAGAACGCTGTCGAGTTGCAAAATGACACGACGACATCTCTCGGCAGTTCAGAGCTTTTACCCAAGACTATCAAGGTGTCATTGCATCAACAAGTCATCTATTGTGGTAAGTGTCTCGAGTTTCTGTCCACTGAAAATACGTTGTCCTTTGACGGAAATCGCATAGATGACAGCGGCTCTATGAGACGCGAAGATCGCTGGGATTCTCAAACAAACCTCGTTGAGCGCATTGCCAAAGTCACCACTCGGGTCCTCCCTGAGGGTGAAGGCGTTGCTCTTCGATTCATCAATCAGGACGTGCCCAACTCGTCGAATCTGAGCCTCGAAGATGTTGCCAATATCCTGGGACCCATGAAGTGGTCGAATAGTGGGAATACCGATATCGGCACCAACCTGAGATCCAAGATCCTGCAGCCACTTGTCTACGACAAGCTCGATTCGGTGCCGAGGAGGCTCGAGAGACCACTGCTCATCTCTATTCTCACCGATGGTGGGCCTGAACCGGAGCCAGAACCTACGTTGAAAAATGCCATTGTAGAGTGCAGCCAGCGGCTGGATGCTGCCAATTATCCCCGTGAAAGTAAGTATGAGTATTCCAAGCTCGTTAGTGCCAGCTACTGAATCTATGAACCTGCGCAGGTGTGAAGTTTATGATCGGTCAAATTGGGACTTCGAAATTCGCGACAAGGTTCCTGCAGACTATCAGAGAGAGTGCAGAGATTGCGGATATGGTGTACTGTACTTCAGGTGCGTGACTAGTTCTTTGCCAGACTCACCTCATCTGCTAAACTCGTCGCAGATCAACTCGATGAAAGATTCAAAAGGGAGTATGACAACCAAGCCAATCTAGATCGATGGGTAAGGATCGACCCCGTTCTGCTGCGCCCCTGTTCCTGTCTGTTAACTCCGTATGATCCAGCTAATCGAGACCTTGTTCGAGCCACTCAAAGACCGGAAGAAGAAGTTGGAGGGTTGGCCTTGACTTGACCTGTGATATCGGCTTTTTGTCGACCAAGTGCTCTGGTACATCCACGTAGGAGAAGAAGGGCAGGAAACAAGTATGGACGAGAATGATAGTGATTCAGGGACCAGATTGCCGCTGCGAAAGATTACATTTTGATGGTCCAAGCATGTGAGGAGGCTTCGATATCAAAGACGTCTTCTGTATCACGATCTCCGCAGGATATTTGCTGCCGTTGTACGAATGGACAGTAGAACCCAGGGAGGAGATAGCTCAATAATACCTCATGGGCGTATTATGTCTGGTATTTGTGGTGGTGAATACGCAACTAATAGAGAAGCCCAAGTCCTCAGCGTATTTGTCACACACGACGAAGCTTGATAACGGAATCATCATACAAAGGGGGGCATGGGGAGCATGGGGAGCATGCCTGGCGCCATCTGAGGAAGGTATTACGGGTAATGATATGCCACAAGCACACGGACGTGCCCCCAGTACTTAACCTAGAGGGGTTTCGCCTAGTGAGCCTAAGCCATTAACCCTCTAGGCACCCCCGAGCGCCCCGGTTGAGCCTTGATGCCCCGCCCAATCGCCCAAGCACTGCCTCCAAGAAACTGTCAGCATCACCGGCTGCTCCATCCCGATCCCTCGGTGCTCTCCTCCAATGACGTGATTGATCTTGAATCGTCGCCGCTTCCCCCTCCCTGAAACAAGAAACTTCAACAAGCAGCCGAAGAGGCTGTTTGCGCCGTTGAACATCTGGAATTGGTCGATTCAGAACTCGTATATATATTGCCATTCCCCTCCTCATCCAAGACTTTCCTTGGATTCAAACACCCAAACAGTCGCCAAACTGCAGCTCAACATCAGCGACCTCTCCCCCTTCAACATCCTCCTTCTCGTCGTCGTGCTCACCATGGCTTTCCAAATGCCTTCATTCCTCTCACGCTTCCTCCGCCCATTGAGCTCTGCGGCATCAATGTCCCTCCAACCCGATGCCCTAGCAGCTATGCAATTCCCTCCCAACTCACAGAGAGCCATCTTCGCTGGCGGGTGCTTTTGGGGTCTGGAGGAGTTATACCGCAAGACGTTCGGCGACGGCAAGGGTCTTTTGGACTGCAGAGTTGGATACACCGGTGGCCAATCCAAGGCACCGAGCTACGCCGAAGTCTGCTCCGGACGAACTGGCCACGCCGAATCCCTCCTGATCGTCTTCGACCCGGAACGTCTTTCGTACAGGCAACTCTGCGAGTTCTTCTTCAGGATGCACGATCCGACCACCCTGAACCGACAGGGTGCCGACACCGGCACGCAGTATCGCTCTGCGATTTTCGCCGAGAACGACGAGCAACTCCAGATTGCCGAGGAGATCAAGAAGAAGGTCGGCGAACAGTGGTACAAGGGAAAGAACATCACCACGGAGATTAAGAGAGCGACGCAGTGGTATGATGCAGAGGCTTACCATCAAAAATATTTGATCCCAGAGCCTGGAAAGGACACATCGGGATTGTACCACTGCCCTGCGCATTATCGACGACCATTCCCTGATCTGGTGTAATGCGACCATGAGTGGGTGACAAGCGAGAAGAATTTTGAATATCAACAACAGCGCAGCCCTTTGTCACCAAAAATTGTTGCATTAGATGTGTTTGCGATAGTTACACAGAATATGAGCATTGGTATCACAAGACCCGCAACGATCTAGATAAATCATATCCTTGCGCTTCTGTTTACAATAACGACGTGTGTTCCGTGCTGGGTCGACCCCACATTTCTATCGAACTCCGCCTCAGAAACTAGAACTTCGATAGACTACTAGGTATGATTCGCGGATTGCACCGCCCTGTTGCTCTGCCAGCGCCTGATCAACTTGCCAACTACTCTCAGAGCAGAACAGGGCGGCACGGCACGCACGGGAGAAAGGTGATAATGGCTCAAAGGCAGGAAATGGGTCACATCTACGAGGTAGATATCTCATCACCAGTTCCGAGTACTTGAGAAGACATTCTCCACCGCCTACCCACATACCTACATATCTACACTCCTGTCGACACTCCATCCACATATCTGTCCTCGCCATATCCGTTCACTGCGTCTCACTTGTACCGATTCGGCTATTACAACAATCTACATCGCCACGACACATACGAACTTGATCACAGGCCAAGGGAGAAAGGACTATCTCTCTCCCGATCCATCCATTCTTCAACCTTCCCATCTCTCTATCTATTCATCGCTCTGCCAGCACTGTATGGCGACCTTTATCTCCGTCGGCAACGGGGTCGTCGCCAAAGATGGCGTGGCCGAGGGCGAGGCCGCGCAGTATCAAGCCCTCAAGCGCCAGGTGCTCGCGGAGGAAGAGCGCAAGAAGCAGGAGGAACGCGAGAGGCGGGTCAGTCAGGGGTTGCCGCCCGAGATGACGCGGGAGGAGAAGAAGGAACTGAAGAGGAAGGAGAAGGAGAGGAGAAAGAACGAGGTGGCCAAGGGGAGACAGAGGGAGGGGGAGGGCAGGAGGAGTAGTGGGAGGAGGGTACTGGGGATGCTGTGTTTTGGCCCTTGAGGGATGGGTTCTCAATTGTCTTTTATTGTTTCTCTGGATACCTTCATCCTGCGCATTCGTAAAGGCGCGACAAAAGGTTACAGCCTGCTAGGCATCCTCACAGCGCCGTCAAGTCGAATGACAAACCCGTTCAACATTGGGTTCTCCACAATCTCTTTCACAAGCCGTGCGAATTCGTGGCCCTGGCCCATACGCATGGGGTATTGGATCATTTCGGTATTTATCCCTGCTCGTGCTCCCGTACTCTGTTTTGGCTTTTCAGTGCCTTCCTTTTTTGGTCCTTGTTCCGGCTGCTGCTTCTTTGGTTGCGTGGTCAGTCCGGTCAGGAAAACACCTGGTGCAATGCCCATTACTCGGATACCAGCCTTGCGGCCCAGCTCTCGAGCTAGCGGGAGGACGATACTGCGCACGGCACCTTTGCTCGCGCTGTATGCTAGCTGGCCAACTTGGCCTTCATATGCCGCCACGGACGAGACTATAACGACGATCCCTCGCTCACCATCGGGTCCCCATGGTGTGTTTAGCGCTATGTGCGGTAGAGTGAGGCGAATCAGGTCAACTGTGCCCCGGAGGTTGACACCCAAGGTGCGATCAAAGCCAGACATGTCCATGTATTTAACGCTTTCATGCGTCGTCGATGGGTCCTGCTTAGGAAGAGCCAGAGCTGCCAAGCCAATGCCTGCAGAGCAGATGACCCCAGACAGCGGTTTTGTGGTGCCTTGAATCCATTTTAATGTATTCTTTAACGCCTCTTGTAGTGACTCGGTAGATGCGACGTTGGTCTTTGTGAAAAGAATTCGAGATGGGTCAAGGGAGGCGTCGGAGGGCGGAGGATTGAGATCGAGAATGGAGACGTTGGCGCCGTTTTGGAGGAAGATGACGACAGTTGCAAGACCCAGGCCAGAAGAGCCTCCGCTCACAATGAAGGTGCGATCCTTAATCTGCATGGCTGCTCTATTTCAGGGTAGCCTTGGAGGAAATATGAAGTTCAAAGTATTGACGGAAGATAGAAGAGAGGGATACAGCAGGCCCGAAGCACCTACCTCGGTTCGGGCGTGCACGTACATGTGCTCGGCGTGGTGATACCCACGCTTCAAAGTTGAGATTGTGATTGATAACGAATATGGGATTCTTCTACTTGTTTGATTGATACGAGCACATTGGTGACTTGCTTGGAGAATGAGGACCAAAGGGCTGTTGAAGCTGCAGCTGTGGTGTCCCCCTTTAGTCAATGCAGCTTACACTGAACATTGGTGGTGATGAATCTAAATAAAGCCAATTCGGCACGTGATAGCCCAATTTGGGTGATTGCCCTCCCTGTCACGGCGCCGCCACAATGCCCCCAGTGGCCCCTTAAGCTTTACCCGTACCACTAGTAATTGGCGGGCCGTAGGAGCGTGCGAGCAACTGCCCGCCTCCCGCAGTCCTGGATCTGCGACGTGTGGGCGCGGAGACCGACCCTGAAACCTTTCTGATTGTCCTAAGAACGCCATCAAGACACCTTCAGTGAACTCTCGTCTTTGAGTTGGGATGATATGTCAACGGGACACTCTGCAACTCTGGGAGCCAAAGCGCAGAGCGTTGACATCTACAGTCTGAGTGAGCTCGATGCACAATTGACACGGACCTGATCGTCACGTCACTGCACACAAGTTCATACGCCAAATTTCCCCCGCCCCCAAGCCTCAAGCACAATCCAACTCCAAGCGAACCAGGCTGATCTGGTTCAAACCACCACATACACCTGTCCGCAAACCCCTCAAACACAGGCTTGGAACCGGACAGGACATCAAGCACTTCGCTTCAAATTCCATCTATTTCTTCAGACAGAGATCAAATTCATGACCATCTCGCCCTATGTCCCTTTCCTCCAGCCGCTCGAAACCGCTACCCACGCGGAGCGTCCACAGTCTCAGAAATGGAGGAAGAGCCTCCAGAGACTCGTCCATGGTTCGCCGGAAATCCATCAACGCTAATGATGCCTACCTATATGCCCTACGAGTGGCCTATCTGTCGTACTTGCTCCAACCTCGGAAAACAAGAAAGAAACATATCGAGACGAGGCCGGCAGTCACTCGCATGAACACTTCCCACTCCTTCAATGACCTCATGAAAGATTTTACAGTGGTTCGAGACGCAAAGAGTGCGAGGTTCCCTCATGACTTCATCAAAGAGCTGGAAAAGAGACTGCAAGGCATCCTGATGGGCAAGGAGAGACGGCAGGAATACCATGAGCCTGTGGTCAAGAGGGTTTTTGCCCTCTTCCTCAACACTCTTTCCGATCCTGTTTTCAAAAAGCGCATGGAGGCTGACCGAAGGGCTGAGGATCTGGTACTCATCTTCTTCTCCACGGCGACCAAGGAGTTGCAGAAAGGTCACCCGCCTGGGGATGACGCTGTCAAGCGCTTGGTTGACCGCCATGTCGCCTTGTTTGTTCGGCTTCTTTCCCTGATTCTTCGGGATCGTGACTGGGCTAAGGACAAACCCGACTTGGCTGCTCGGCTGCAGACTCTCGAGTCCAAGTTGTTGAAGGGTGATGAGAACCTCGCCGCATCGCAAGCAAATGGGGAATGGACCACCATCGAGGAGGTGGTACCTCTCAGCTATGAAGTCAAGGACATGCCTCTAGTTCAGGCGGTGGGGCGCATTTTTGGCCTGACCAATACCATGATGCAGTCAGACATCACAAAGAACAAGCCCGTGTGGACAGAAAAGGCTGCTCTTCAAGATCTGAAGACGTACCAACAGCACCTCACTCTGGGGACGAAGCTGACCCTAAATTCCCACGACTTTGACACTCAGGAGGCATACGAAAGTTGGAAAAGAAGCGAAGGCCCAGACCTTTCGCAGCTGATGCTGGCCATCATCCAATCCAATCCTGAGCTGGCCAAAAGCACTCCAGGAGGCGCTTTGCCTCAGTTCAATGCCCAGAATGAGCCTTCTAGCCCCTCGGATTCTCATTATGCTGAGCTCTCCAGAGCCCTCTCACAATCTGGGGACTCTTCTTCTTACGTCTTAGATCTGCCGGCAGATCTAAGCTCCCTTCAACTGGACCCGGGCGATTCATTCAAGCATGATGATGATGCGGCCCAAGTCTATACTTTTATACCCTCTGACCCCAGAACCATGTTTCGATTTGTTATGCTTCAAGCTCTTAACCATGACCTTAACGATAAGATGAATGGCAGCGGCCCGGAAGGTGGCCGCTTGTTCTCCAAAGAGACTACGGAGCTGCTGAATGAAATTGCCTTGAGATGGCGAATACCCAAATTCACACGCATTGTCCTGTTTCTGGATGTCGTCCGCGAGAAATTCATTGAGAACCAACTCAGTCTGGAAATGCTCGATGCTGCCTTCAACTACGTCAAGGAGCCATTGCAGGATGACCACAAGAACAAGAGGAGCTCCTTGATTATGAGTACGGCCTTATACGACCGAAATAATTGGACCATCGCCGACTTTGCCTTGATGGGCAGGCTTCTCAACACTATCTACGAGACTCTACTTCGAGATCTGTACGAGGTCATCATGACTTCCTACGCTGACAAGGCCCAATTACCAAGACTGGGGGCTATTATGGCAATCATAGATGACCACATACGAAGCGATCCCAATTTCAACCACAACCCCGAAGACTTCGAAAACTTTAAGAATGCTGCCATCGATGGACTGGCCACCGAGGCGCGGAAGATTTACGACTCTCTTCTGGATCGGGAACTTCCCCAAGAAAATGAAAAGTGGGAATTTTATCACATCCAGCAGTTGGCAAAAGCTGTGTTGAAGCTAGCAGAAAAGGTGCAGAAGAGGTTCAGAAAGAACCCGGAAATCCTCGGTATCAACCCTTTGATGATACTGATCAATTGTACCCTTCCAACCTTTGCAGAGGATTCAAAGGCAATGGTGGAGCAAATTCTCAGCGTTGCCGAGAAAGATGGATTTGAGGTTACCATTCAGGATGGGTTTGATTTGTATAAGGAGTTGAGCGAGTTCCGTCGTGTCCACGCTGATGCCTTGCCACACGTTCCATTCCCCTACAAGATCGAAGAGCTCCTGGCCGATTTCGTCTGGCGATGGATCAAGACCACTGAGACACAGGTTATCGGATGGGTGGAGAATGCAGTCAAACAAGATGAGTTCAAGGTCAGGACGCAAGTGCCGGACCAGACGCCTACTGAAGACGAACGTCACTCAACTTCTGTCATCGACATTTTCAGTTCTTTCAACCAGGTCATCAATCAGATCGGCGAACTAAATTGGGACGACGACTTTAGTTACGCAAAGTTCATGACGGCGCTTTCGAAGGCTATTGGCCAGGGTGTTTCGAGGTATTGTGAACTGCTCGATCAGATGTTTGGTAAAGAGATGGACAGGTTAACTCCGGAACAAGAGGCTGCCGCCAACAGAACGAGACAGGAGAAATGGGTTCAACTGGCGAAAGACACTTGGAATCAAAAAGAGAGAGTCGAGCCTTTCAATTTCTACCCGGAGTCATTCGTCAAACTCAACGACATCCTCTTCGCCATCCAACAGTGGGACAAATTAGAGACCGAGGTCAACGTTGATGCTTGTGCCGAAGTCATCAAAAAATATAGTCCGCCACTAGCGCAACGGCCCAAGAAGACATCGAACTATGTTTTCACTATCAAAATTGTGGAAGCCGAAGATCTCAAGGCTTGTGATGTGAGCGGATTCAGTGATCCCTATGTGGTCTTGACGGATGAATACCAGAAGAGATTGTTCAAGAGCAGAATAGTGTATCGAAGTCTGAGCCCACGATGGGACGAATCCGTGGACATTACTACACAAGGCCCGCTCAATCTCATCGCGACAATCTGGGACTGGGATGCTATGGGCGATCACGATTATGTGGGAAGAACCTCGCTGAAACTGGATCCCTCCCACTTTAGCGACTTCTTGCCTCGAGAGTACTGGCTGGACTTGGATACCCAAGGACGAGTCATGGTGAGGGTCAGCATGGAAGGAGAGCGGGACGACATTCAGTTCTACTTCGGGAAGGCTTTTCGAAGTCTGCAACGGACCCAGCGAGACATGACGAGGAAAATCACCGACAAACTTTCGGCGTATATCAACCATTGTCTCTCGCGACGAGCGCTCAGATCCCTACTTAGTCGGGGCATCTCCATGGCCAATGTGTCTGCCAATGTATCGTCGTTCTTTGCACGAAACCGAGCATCGGTAACTCCCACAACCACAATGCCCACCGACGCCGAGATTGTCAACGCCTTGAAGCCGCTCTTCGACTACTTCGATGACAACTTTGCAATCATGCAACAAACGCTGACGTCGGAAGCAATGATTGCAGTTATGACACGCATTTGGAAAGAAGTTCTCGTCACTGTGGAGGCTCTCCTTGTCCCGCCCCTATCAGACAAACCTTCACAACAAAAGGCCCTAACGCAACAAGAACTCGACATCGTCTTCAAGTGGCTACAATCCCTTCTCGAGTTTTTCAATGCAGTCGACGAAGAGACTGGAGAAGCAAATGGCGTGCCGATCAATGTCCTGAAGAGCCCAAAGTATCACGAATTACAAATGCTCAATTTCTTTTATTTTGAGCCGACAGACTCTCTCATCCGCGAGTCGGAAAGGATGGCCAGTGCAACGGCTTCCAACCAGCAAATGCACCGCTCGAGATTTTCTGCCCCTGCCAATTTGAACAATCATCTAGGTGCAGGCGGTCTCCTCGATCCTGGCAACCTCGCGGGAGCGCGCCGAGCTAAGAGCATTTTGCTCTCTCGCAACCTTGGCACGAAACGCAAAGCCAAAGAGGAAAAATGGAAAGCTGCTCAAGCGGAACCGAATGACGACATGATACTGCGGATATTGAGAATGAGACCTGAGGCAAGCGGGTACTTGAGGGATCGGAGCAGGCAGAAAGAGAGGCTTGCTGCGGCCGCTGCAGCGGAGATGATTGTGAGACAGAGTCTTCTGAGCGGAGGCGGAAGGATGACCGGACCTTCGGTAATACGGAGGTAGCCCTCAGAGCAGTCAGATCTCTTGTGCAAAGGAGGGACAGCGACCCAACGAAGAATGAGTAATGAGGCTGAATCAAGATTGTTTTTTTTTTTTGTGTCCAGCAAGTCATGTGGGCGGTTTAGCAATGATTTGTGTCTCGTTGTTCTCGGTGGCGCAGTCGCATACTTCTGGGTTAGTAACTGGTGTATAGGCGCATTTGGCAGAGGTCTCGCAGAGGACATGCTGGAGTTGTGGAAGGGATGTGGTAATGGTCACGGCGAGATGGAATACATGATGTCAAATTTAATACTCTGGTCACGACTCGTAAGTCAAGCGAAGGCATCAGCAGAAGCCCGGTACCTTGCAGAACATTGTTCAAGATAATATGTGTTTTTTTTTCTCGCTGGTCTATAAAATGCCAGATGTGTGTGTCGCGTCGCGCCTCTATCCTTTCCGGCCCCTCGAGTTGAGTTCAGCCTTGCGCATGCATACCCATCAGATATAGATGTCGCTCTTCCAACAGACGAACAATGTGACAATGTACACATATACACGAAGAATCCTCAACGTGATCCTCCATCCTTCTCCTTTTCACCCCCAACAGGAATTATTTCATACAGAATCAATTAGCCTTGACCATCTCCAACGACTCCCCTATGCGGCCATACTTTGAAAAGATCAGATCGGCCAGGTAATAGGTGCGGCCTTTCCACGGGCCGCGGTCGCCCGTCTTGGGGAGGTCCTTCTCCGCGGCCTGGAGATAGGTGGAGTTGAGGTCGAGGAACTTGCGGGGCTGGATGGTGGCGTCGGCGTGCTTGCGCGGGACGACGGCGCCGACGGCCCTGCGGTCCATCATGCGGAGCAGGCGGGTGAGGAACAGCGAGGACGCGTCGGCGCCCAGCGTCCACGACGCGTTGGTGTAGCCGAGCAGGAAGGCCGCGTTGGGCAGGTCCTGCATCAGCACCATGTGCCACATCAGTTTGCCGGCCAGGTCGAAGGGCGCGCCGTCGACGGAGAGCTTGATGCCCCCGCCGAGGCGCAGCTTGAGCCCCGTCGCCGTCACGATGATGTCCGCGGGCAGCGTCTCGCCCGACGACCGCAGGCGGATCCCGTCGGCCTGCACGCCGTCGATCACGTCCGTCTTCACCTCGGCCTTGCCGTTGCGGAGGCTGGCGAAGAAGTCGCCGTCCGGGCAGAGGCACAGGCGCTGGTCCCACGGGTTGTAGCGGGGCGAGAAGTGCGGGTCGACCGTCAAGGTCTCGGGGATCTGTCCCTGCACGCCGCGCACGAGGAGCCGCTTCATCAGTTGTGGGAAGGTCCGGCAGAAGAGGTAGAAGAGCCGCGATTTGACGATCAGCCGGAGCCGCGTGAACAGCGACATGACCCTGGCCGGCAGGATCGAGGCGAAGATGGACTTGGACCTGTTGGGCATGGAGACGATGTACGACGGGCTGCGTTGCAGCATGGTCACTTTTGCGGCGGTCTTGGCCATCGACGGCACCAGCGTGATGGCCGTCGCGCCGCTACCGATGATGACCACCTTCCTGCCCGCGTAGTCGAGATCCTCGGGCCAGAATTGCGGGTGCACCACGGGCCCCTGGAACTGGTCGATCCCTGGGATGTCGGCCTTGAGCGGCTGTTCGTAGTCGTAGTAGCCCGTCCCGAAGATCAGGAATCTCGTCACAAAGGTCGTGACCGCGCCCTTGTACTCCACGGACAAGGTCCACAGCTTGTCGCGGGACGAGTACGCGGCCGAGAGGACCTTGTGGTGGAACAAGATGTGCCGGTCGATACCGAACATGCGCGCCGAGTCGTTCATGTACGCCTTGATGGCCGACGCCTCGGCGATGGGGTTGTCCTGGTTCCACGGGTGCCAGGCGAAGCCAAAGGTGAACAGGTCCGAGTCGGAGCGGATGCCGGGATATCGAAACAGGTCCCAGGTACCTCCCATCTCAGCCCGGCCTTCGAGGATGACATATTTGTGGTCTGGAAGTTGGGACTGGATCCGATACGCTGCGTTGATTCCAGATATGCCGGCGCCGATGATGAGGATATCGACGAAGTTCTCCCCTTCTTTGGCTGTGGGAACATGCATTGTGAATTGTATATCCACGGGGGAAAGAATCAGGTCACGACGACAAGATCACAAGGCAGGTAGAGATGAGAGAGACAAAACACACAAAACTCAATCAAATCATTTCTCTCCTCTATTTTCTTTTCACGGCTGCCTACCTACATATGTAGGCGGTATCCGCTTCTCCTTTATCATGTTTGAATCAGCTGCCCCAGAGGGGCGAGCCTGATGGTATTCTGGGCCGAGGCATAACGAACAGGCTATACAGCTCCAATGAGAAGGCGATGCATGGAATTGGGTGGTCGATGGCGAAAAAGGAGACTGGAGTCCGAGTAAGAGGGGAGCAAAAGATTAGTCGGAACAGGCCGGCAAATTGTGATCTGGAAGCAACACCTCATAACGCAGACACCAGGACCAGCAGCACCCAGTATTGCCGATGGTTAGCCACCAACAAGGTGGGCGCAAGAACAAGCAAGCACCAAAACGCCGCATCGCACGTGAAGCTTGGGGCTTCGTCGTAACCGAAATTGGAGCACCACCGAAGTGAGTGGCAAAACCAAAACCACAGCCACGAATCATTCCCTAATCAGGTCTTTTACCGAGACATCTACGCAGGGTTGATCTAGCTTACATGGGAAGGTTGGCCGTGGAGATGATGGATTAGACAAGGCCACCAATGATATGCTTGGAGTTGATCGGGACAATGTGGCGCCGGCTTGGTCTAACCTTTCCGAGTCAATGTAGAGGGGTTTCCCCAGATGGAATCTTGTGCCCCCTTCAATTCATCTTTTCGGAAGTAGTAAGGGTTTTTCCCGTTGTGGTGATACTGAGTGGCTCTCTATGCATGTGCTGTATCGCGACAGCCTTGTCACCACACCCCGGGAAATGGTCCCATCCTGGATAACATCTCTGCACGTAGGAGGGTTCTTACACTCTTGGGCGGCCATGTGCGAATTTCGAAGCATCCACCCCTCGAACCACTGCAAGGCTAGCCGCGATAATGTCAAGATGGGTTTTGCAGTGCTCTGCTCTTTTGCAGATCTCCATATGCCGTGTGTGCGAGACAGGATCACGAGGAATTTTCACGGCTGGGGCATTGACCCTGGTCGTATCATTCACCAAAAAGAGCATCGTCAAGAGGAAATGTGTACTTGGCCAATATTCGTCGCACTGCCATAAGCATAGGTAGAGATCTTGAACGCCGTTTGACTTGATAGAGGTATACGATATACCGACCGAGCGTGCACGAGCTTTTCTCCAAAATGCACGGATCCTCTTAGTCCGCTGGCGGGACTCGGGTTCCTCCACTCAATCGCCCTACGCCGACATCCCGATCGGGCAAGTTTCAATTGCCCGCCATATGCATCGGCGTTTACGGAGTAGTGCTGGGTTCGTTGTGCGTCGTATCGCCAGCCAACATAGACAGAGGTTGCAGAATGCGTCTCTTTTGTCCAATCCCGGAATGCCTCGGAGTTTAGGACAGTGGCCTACAATATCTGACACTGCAGAGATACACACACATTCTGCGTAAGCGAAGGCGTTTACGAGGACGCGATCGGTGGTCCCTGTTCCCCGGGCCTCCGTCTCTATGGGACTGTTGGTGCATATCTGGAAATATGGACATGGATTTTTCGTATGATGGTAGAAACGTATCTGTCAGACACGGTCTTGCCTGTCGTGAAAGAGCTGGAATGCAGAGTAGACAGCGATCTTCGACATCAAGGCCCACGGCACCCGTCGAAATACGAGGGAATGCGGGACCCGGTGTGTTTTTGTCCCGCCAACCTCCCCCCCACTGGGAATCTGCGGGGTTTGATACGAACCGCTATTCTGACCTCTGACCTTTGACCTCTCAGAATAATAGAGAAGGAGGACCAAGGCCTCGCTAGATAGGACTGGAAGATTACAAAGGTCCAACGTATTCGGACGTACTGTCCCTCGTATCTCGTATACCGTAGAGGGAATCCTTTACTGACGATGCGACGTGCAAGTAATAAGATATCTCTGTCGCCAGAGTCATGTAGGAACTCTTTTCACGTCGTGTCGACTTGGGGCCTTTGATTCTGTCTTGTCCCGCAATGGCCGTCAACATTCCCACGTCGCTACTGTTGATCTTCTCTGCAGCGTTGCAAGCTGTAGTCTTGGTTGCAGCAGCTCCCCAGTATTCCCCCGTGGACGGCTTCAATCCAGCCTTTCTCTGCTTTGCGCTCCTCAACTTTGCACTATGGTTCTTCTATCTAGTGTTCATTTATCCCAATTTCGTCAGCCCGCTTCGAGATCTGCCAATGGCCAAGGTACGTCTTGCACGAAATGTCGCGTCCAAGGCGCAGGCGGCAGCGTTGATACCGGCACGTAGGGCGCTTTACCCATCATCGGCCACGCCTGGTCCCAGTTCAAGGCTCCGCGAGGAGGCGACTATCAGAGATTTACCCGCGAAATTCCCAATGACGGGCTCATTCGCCTCAAGGGATTCTTGAACGCCGACCAAGTATTGGTGACGAGTCCCAAGGCACTGGCTGAGATCCTCGTCACCCGATCGTACGACTTCCCCAAACCCGACAAGGACCGTACCTTTCTCCGTCAGTTGATCGGGGACGGCCTGGTCGTGGCCGAGGGCGAGCAGCACAAACACCAGCGCAAGCACAGCATGCCCAGCTTCGCTTTCCGACAGATCAAACTGCTGTACAATGTGTTTTGGGAGAAGTCCGTCAAGATGACTCAGGTGATCGATGCCGAGGCCTTTGGGCCAGATCGTGGCCACGGAGGCGCCGAGAACCTGCCGCCTGGGGCGATTGATATTGAGTATTACGCACCGAAAACAACGTTGGACATCATCGGCGTGGCAGGCCTGGGCCGGAATTTCAACACGTTAGGCAATTCGGACGACGAGATGGTCAAATTGTATGACCAGCTGGTCCATCCTTCCGTGGGCCGGCAAATCCACGCG